TACACCTTTTTTTCCTACTGTAGAAGAGCCGACTGGGAGGGTGGAAAGGTTCAATCGGGAACCAGGGAGCCTGGAAAGGGAGGGGGGATAGAACCCCTTCCATCCAGTGGCACCGATGGAGTTCACTGCTGCCATGCCACAACAACTTTCACCCGTGTTCGAAAAAAACTCTCCATGTCCAGAACACCATAGTGGTACAAGAAGACAAAATGTCAGGTACCAGAGTTGAAAGGTGCTTAATTCCCCCACTTTAAGGGATTTAGCGCATCGGATAGCTGGCTCCGCCAAATTTTGCGATTTGTATCCATCTCTTTCTTGGGCTTCTTTTTCCTAATGCGTACCGCCCGGTTAAGCTCCAGCTTGCGATCCTTCATCCAGATAAATAGTCCGAGTTAACTCACCAGACATATAGAACTGCCGACCAGGCTTTTATTCAGTCAGAGGCATAATCACTGACTTGTTGTTCAGGTGAGCGGGATGTCTTTGGAACAGCCGACAGATTAACAGCGGCACAGTTACTGCAAAAATCCAGTCCAAAGTCATCGGAGCCGAGCTTGTCCTACTTAGGCAATTGTAGGGGCTGAGTTGGGCAACTCGAGCGTAGATCGTACCGAAGTCCTCCCTGACCTTATTAGGTACAGCCATAACAGCGCCTTCGAGTCTCTGTTCTTCTCATTTGATCTAACTGATTTCGATGGGGAAGATATAGTCCAACATGTTGAACCAGGTTTGCAAGGTTGATTTCAAATGCAAGTAAGTAGCAAACAAATGATGAGACTCAGAAAGTGAGAGAGACGGCGGGAACAATGGAAGTCAAAATGAAAGGAGCCAGGTGGTTGGCACGTCCCAGTTCTAGGCCCCGAGCTGCTGTAGGGCGCTGGGTTGGTGATTATGGCCGGGCCAGGAGGGTGGGAGGAAGCGGCGTAACCACTCACTCGTACGTACAGTACTCTTGTGAACTGGAACAATTGAGGTGGTGACTTCTTGGTTGACTGACTGGTTAACTCAGAATTTGCGAGTTCTTGCAGCTTGGACCAACAGTCGGAAAGTGGGGCCCACCAAATCAATGGGGGATTTTGGAGTCGATCCAATCCAATTACACGAATCAGCTTACAGGCAGCTGTCATGATAAATTGCAGTTACTGCAAGACTTTCGGCACCTCTACCCGTCGTGATGGTGGTGGTGGTGGTGGTGGTGGTGGTACTGTACATATCTAGTGCATGATTGCTGGCAGCAAAAGCACTGCAGTGACCTTGTCTTCGTATGCACTGGCCATTACGTCATCCGAATACGAAATCAAATTGAGGTTCACTCGGGTTGAAAGTTGAAAGGATTCTGGATCCGGAGCTGACAACAAACTCGAAAGGCCGATGAGAGCTGTAGACACAGTACGTGTTGAGGATGAAGAGGGGGAGGTTCCCAAGGAAGAAGCAGAGGCCATCCTCGGTCGGCGACGATCTCGATGCGATGCGGTCTGCTTTCACGTGGCTGCACTGAACGATCGGCCGCAGGGGTCCCACGGTCTGCCAACTGCCGTAAGCGTAATGTTGCGTATGGTGTATGTACATTACCATCCCCTCCATGTTCCCTCCATGTCTCTCTATGGAGAGCAGAACCCTGTCCTCCTTGCAGCTGAGCAGATGTAAGGTCACTTTCTCCCTGTCTTGCATTGATAATAAGCCCCTATGTGACAAGTTGGATTCCCTGGAAGTTAAGGGACCGACCACCCATCATGCGAAGGGCTCATGGCGTCCTTGACAGCTCGCTTGGGTGGTACAAAAGCGCGTTCTGCGAGACTATTGTAAGAATACCCGCCGGTGTGAAAGTTTACGACCTGCAATTCCGATTCTTACAAGAACCAACACCATCAAAGGTACGGAGTTCCTAGTACGTTAATACGTCTCTCTGCCAAAGTCAAGGTCAACGTCAGTCGGAAGAGAGAGGGGAGGGAATGAACAAAGCGCCGTCTCTTCCGTGGAGGGTGGGCGTTTTCACCGTGACCACATCCAGCTGCTCATCATCTCAACCAGTCCCAGGTGCTAGCGAGAGGGTATGGTCATGATCTGTTTTGCTGTTGCTATTCTCTCGCGCGTCAAAGTTTGCTTCAGCTAGTCCCGAAACATGATTCATTTTTGACTTTCCAGCAGCCGACACATGGCAACCACGGTGGAATGATCGCCGCTAAGACGCCTGTTTATGGAGGTTCTGGACATGCAGCGGCGTCAGTCGTTCAGCCACACGGACGCCAAGAATCCCAACGCCTTGTAGCGTATGTACAGTACTAAGTAACTCAGTATGTACACTGTACTACCGATGTATGTGTGAAGGTACGGTGGTGACATGTATGGATAATCATGGTGCATGTACTCCGGAGTACATATTCCTTCCCCTCCCTTATGAAAGTACACTACTCCGTACAGTGGTGAGGTCAGACAGCATCAGTGTAACTAACAGGCTCACTGTCTAACCATAGTTGGTGTACTCCCTGCTGAGTATCAACTATCAACAGGGCAAACACACGTACAGTACATTCGTCTTCTTTGGGACAATGCAAGTCACGTCAATCAAGTTCAGTACCTTGGAATGCGACCATCACCAACATGCATACTTCATCTCCGTCGAGTGCACGGAGGACTTTGGTCTCTCTACACCTCTAGACTACTGTCCATGATCAACGCGCTTCTACGGAGTCCAGCAAGCCCTTACCTGCTGAATAATACTCTCTGGTCGATCAGGGCGTTGGGAGCGAGTGTCAGTCGCTGTGACTCGAGACACGAGTCTCAGCAAGTTTCATCCCTTTGCCTGGTGTGTGCTATGCGTCGTGTCATGACCTACCGCCCATACGGTGGCGGCCGCCTCAGTTGCTGATGCCTCACCGACTCGATCCTTCTTGCACTTGAGGGATCAAGTCGACGGCCAATATTATAACCGCAGAACCTATGGAGTACGGAGTCTCCGTACTCAGTCTACCTATCCATCAGGGCTCCTATTGCTTGTTCCCCCTGTATTTTTCTGTTTTGTTTGGAATCATTTGATGACTAACTCGCCGAGACACTTGATTCACATTATTGACTGAGTCAGTCAATGCAGCCTTGAAACTCCTCCAGTCCAGTCCAGCTGTTTTGGAGCACATGTACTTCCCCAAGTGGGAAAAATCAGTGCTAGTCATCAATCACACCATGTGGTTGCAAATGGCCCAATGTCATCAACAACGTGAGATCAAGGATCCGGCAATGCTCCATGGTCCATCAGCCGACGACCTGTTTTCCCATGACAGGGGGAGTCACTTGGGCGATGGCGATCGACTGATTGCCATGTTTTCTTTTCCACGTTGAGGGGGAAGAACCCCCAGCCTGCAGATCGTGCAAGAAATTCCCCGCTAGTCTAGCGTGGCATCTGCCATCCAATCGTGGAGACGATCAGAAGCCAAGGTAGTACTGGTTGAATATGTGTGTCTAAATTGAGAAGATGGGGGTAACACCGAAACCTGGTCCAGACTATTGTGTTGTTATTATTGTTTACTATTATTGTGAACTCATTACCGGTATTCACTTGAGGTGATGTGAGAGGATCATTGTTGCGAATAATCCATCCACACCCGTTGCGCACCTGGGCCATCAGAATTCGATAGAGCCACAAGACGACCACGACCACTTCAACCAGCAGGCACCACCCATTCATTCCGATTCATCCTTCGACGGAGTCGGGGGCGGGGTCGGAATCGGGCGACGATCGGATGGATGATGCATTCACCCGCCCCTCCTTCCTCCTCTTGGGCAATTTCTTTTCCTTCAGGTTTCTCTGCCCGCGCGAGAAAGCTGCTGGCTGTGTCTTGTGCGCCACACACCCCCACGGGGCTGCCTTTATTATCATTATTGCAGGAAAGGGAATCCTTTCAAAATCAACAAAAAAAAAATCCGGGAAAGGTTGGTAGTGGTTTGGCAAGCAGCACAAAAACAGGTGCGATGTCGGATGTCGGACTTTCCTGGTCTGGGCGGGTGATCAAGACAGCCCGACTTCTCCAATCACAACACCTGACCTTAATCCCAACGGTCCAGCCTATTGTGTTTTTCTCGCCTCGATTGACTGATGCTGGGGTCTTGACTGCACTCTGCAGCCATGCAGCACTTTTGGAGAGGGGAAATGGGCGATGTGACAGCCTTCCTAGGGGTGGTGTGGACCACGGAAGCCCGCCTCCAAGGCTCAGCAATCCTAGGCACCCAACTTCCAACAGGGCCAACGACCGGATAGAATTCCATCATCCATCATTATTAGCCACGCGTGAGACTACGAGTAATATGGCCCGTCAGCTATTAATGCCCTGCGCTTGACTAGGCGACAGAGTCGGGGTCGGATTACGGGTCTTAGCGCGCTAGGGTTCCTCGTGCATTATTGGGCCATGTTCCTTCAATCTATGTGACACCATCCGCCCCCGTTAAGGACCTGCCCGAGTGGGCACAGTCTGAAATTTGCCCGATTTGACCTGCTGAACGGGGCCACTTCCACAATTTACTGAGTACATTCTCCGAGTCTACCATCCAGGCAGGAGGCCCGGTGGCGACGCAGCAGTAGTTTTTCAGGCACCAATGCAAGGCTCATCTCGAAGGATTAAACAGAGAGGCCATGCAGCTTCGGAAGGATTCTTATGACGGGTATTCCCTGCCTAGGGCTTGAGTCTGGTCTTTCTTAACTATCGACAAATGCTCCTTCGCCGCGCGGGAAGGCCAGATTCCGGGCCTTGCACCCTGCTCGCTTGATTAGATTGAATCTCCAGATGTGTCTGGGCCGAACAGGCCAGGATGGTTACATTGACTCTGTTAGTGACCGCGTCAGCACTCAGTATCTAATTTATGCATGCAGGGCCTCGAGCGGAGCACGACTGCTGTTCAGCCGGCTGGCTACAGCATCTGTAGAGTCCAGTTTTCAGCTGCGAGGCCTGGGTCAATCTCAGCAATAACCAACCAGTGCCTGTCAGGCTGTCGTGGTATTCAATTTGAGACTGATCGAACAGGTCAACCAGGGCAACTATTCATGAGGTTATCGTCCGGCAGCTGCCCTGCGCATAGTATTCGAAGCTCGGACTCACCTATCGGAGAGATAATCATCTGGACCCCACGCTTAATTAAAGTGTGCATGCTGACCTCACCTCCTACCCTTGCGCATGGTCGTGGGTAAATATGCCAGATCAGGGTCAGATGCAGCAGTCAAACAGATCCATGCCAATTGCAACTCATCATGGCACCTGCCCCCAGAGCCAACGAAGCCACCAAGCAGACTATATTCAACCTGCTTACACGGATTCGGAATTCGTCCGCGCGGGGGAGGGGGCTTGGGTTTTGCCTTTCCAACCAATACTCCATCAGCTAACGAAGAGAAGCGCCCAGGTTAGATGAAAGACCTGTTACTTGACTAAGAAAAGAAAGATAGGCGAACGAAAAACAGGCAAGTTTGCGCGTTGGACAGACCAGTATCTGCTCCGAACTCCATGCGATGCTACCTCACTAAGTGAGGGCCACCCCTTCGCAAAAGACTCCGCCCGAACCACTAGACTACTACCTAGTCGACATCGGCAAGTGAATCACCCGCGCGATGACCAATTGCAGTTCAGATTGATCTCTCTCTTTTTTTTTCCCTCACAAGCACTCACAAGTAAAGCTTAGTCTTCCCCTCCCATCTGGCAAATGGCCCCTCTGGAATTAGTCTACCATCCCGTCGGCCCTGACTAGCGCTTACTCACGAAGCCACTAGCCCGAATCCATGCCAATCCTTCTGCTCCTCGATGGAGATAGACCTCGGTTGCTGTAGCCTGTATCCTAGCCAACGCAGAAAGTGGTGGAGCCCATCTTTTCACGGCCGGCGCACGCGAGATGAAGAATCCGCCATCAATATTCAGGGACCACTTTTCGTTCGTGCAGCTGCAACCTTAGTCCGGACCGGTCATTCAAGGTGTCGGATGGGCCGACCCATAGAGATTCTGAGTGGGTAAGTTGGAACCAACAACCACGAGAATGACACCAATGAATCGCTCTCGGACAACCCCTGATGATTTAAGATACATCGCAAACAAACAAAACCTGAACCCCTAAGATATAGGTAAGCAACCCAGCCAAGCGAAGCAAGCAAATCCCAGTCCAAAAGCAAAGCCCATGGCGGATAATCTTCCCCATGCGCGCCATTAGACACAAAAAAAGAAAAGAAAAGAAAAAAAAAAAAAATAAGACGGCGGCTGACACATAATTGTCCGAACCTTACTGGTACCTATCTCCGTACGGAGACACTTGGAAGTTAAGCACCCATAGTGTACTACTGTACCCAAGGTAGTCAATGGCTTTTCCCCGCTTCTCATACTGCAGTTACTCCGTAATCCTGTCCAATATCCATATCCTGTACGGAGTACAGATAAGAAAGTCCTCAGAATGCAATTAGCTATGTCCAGTACAATCAAATCAAAAAATACAGACTTCCACGAAGGGGGGAAGGGGGGCCGATGCCCCTCTTCCAACCATCCTTCCATCCTTCCTTCTCATCCGTCCCTCACTCCGACTCCGATGCTACATAGGCCAAAGTCTCCGAGTAGTAAGAGAAAGTCAAGACTGAAAGAAAAAGCTCAGACCAATCCGCGCTTACCACCGTAGAAGTTAGACTTAAGCCTATCGGACCTTTTCTCCCTCGGAAGAACGGACGGAAGAAGCGATGGGCTCCGAAAGTCCGAGTGTGGCTGAAGGAGAAGGAAATGAGTTGCCACGTGGTTAAGGCTAGCCACTCACTACGTACTTTGCACTTTTTCTTGGGATCGGGCTGAGAATGATAGGAGTTGTTTAATAGGTTGTAAGGTGCAAAAGCTTTGGGTTAAGGTTGATGTTGAAGGGCTTAAGTGGCAAATGGCAAGGGGGGTGGGTGCTTGGGATTGTTTGGCTGAAACTGCCACAGCTTGGTTCTTTTGTATCCTGTTGACACTGAGGAATTAGGGCTTTTCTGGATGCTTGGATATGGGAGTGAAGTCGGGAAGTGCCTGGGCTTGAATGGGTAAGTACAATTACTGTACCTGGCAGAAAAGACTGGGGCCAGGCCATTACCTTGACGGAGTATATCGTATCGCACCAACAACAAGCTCTTCAACCGCGCCTTCCCCTTCTCGTTTTGCTTCTATGCACTTCCAAGCTATGAACTTCAACAATCATACCTATAGGCTATGTCCCAACTATCTACTACTGAGTACTTATGATGACAAAAAGAGATTGTCTGGGAAAATAGGCCTGGTGTCGCAAGCCTCCTATCAGAGCGACCAAATCCTCTGCATGCCGAGTATACAGAGCGACAAAGATTATCAGCCTCACGCGAACACCTGCATACGGAAGAATTGAGCCGCCGTCCCTCAGCCTCTCTGCATAGGCTAGCCTCTAGATTGTCATTGTCTTGGACGAATCCATTCACCTCAGAAGGACAAGCTCCACTACTAGGTAGGTGCTATAGCCCTTCGGATATAGCAGGAGGATGATTTGATTGAGTCGCTGAACCGAACCAAAAATTTTAAAAAATCAGCCTTACTCGCCCAGCGCCCTGCCTTGCCTTTCGGAGTACCAATCAATGACTGGATGATACTAGTAGAAGTGGAGGTGGAGGCGGTGTTCGGGGACGGCGACGGCGACGGAGTGAACCTACCACCGATCCAAGATGTGGCAGAGTTATGAGTACAGCAGTATCCATCTATCTATGAGGCTATGAGGCTATGAGGCTGTTGCCTATTTCGCTCGTCGGTATAGCCGTATAAGGCTGACTTCTTGAGACGCCTGGTCAGAATCGGAGGTGGGGGGAGTTGTATTGGCCTGGCTTGGGGCTAAGCTAAACCAAACCAGCTGGAACCCGGGTTCGGTTGATCCTTCGAGTGGGAACTGGGGCTCTTGGTTTGTGATTGTCGTGTTACTTGTATGAGGAAAGGCCTTCAGATATCTCCACCGGATGGCCAACTGCCTGCGTGGGTTTGGTTTGGACCAGGGCAAGTTGTCATGATTGTTTGGTAAGTGACTTGGGGATGCGCTGCAGCATGGATATACTCAGCATGCGCGGGATTCATATGGCATATGCAGGTGCATCGTGGCTGTTCATGTATGTGGAAACTGACAAGATCTATTTTTAGTATCCTGGTCGGAATATGGCTCGCAGGTGTTGTGTATATACAGGTGAATCGTTTGTTCTGGAGAAGGAAAGAAGGGTTTACTCCTCATCCTCTCCTTCGTCCTCGTCTTCATCATCCTCCTCCATGTCATCAGGGTCAACGTCATCATCATCCTCATCATCATCCTCGTCATCCTCATCATTCTCGTCGAACTCTACGCCCAAATCACCGGTAATATCCCAGCGGTCACCCTTGGCAGCGGCACTGACGTACTTGACAAACTTGAGCGTGCCGCTGTCGCGCAGGACAATGCTGAGGCGGTTCCAGTTGGCCGCTGTGCTGAAGAGAATGCTGTCGTCTTCGTCGCCGGCGGCGGACCGATAGATCGCCGCATCGCCCTCGTCCTCGTCATCGACGGCCATGTAAATCTCGTATCCACCCACTGCAGGCTCGTCGGCGGACTTGGCATCGTCCGTGGACTCGGGCTTGGGCTGGGGCTTGGACTTCTCCTCCTCCTCTTCTCCATCCTCCTCCTCGGCGCCTTCGGGCTCCCAGCCGGGCGTGGGCGTCAGGCACAGAGTGAACTCCAGGCGGGGCTCCTCCCCGGTATAGCCGCTGGCAAGGGTATAGTCCTGGCCCCGGCGGAAGCGGCGCGCCAGGTAGTCGTAGCTGGAGACGCGAGCCGCGCCGGTGATCAGGGCCAGCCACTTGCGGAACGCCCGGGACGGGAAGAGGTCGTTGAGGAGCTCCTGAAGCGGGGTCTTCTGATCCTCCGTGGCGGTTCCGTGCTGCTGAAACATGTAGCGTTGCTTGTGGGGGGGCCGGGCAACGGTCCACCCGGTCTGGGCGAGGATCTCGTCCGAGGAGTTGGGCAGCGATTGCTTCTCCTGCTCCTCGATGTACGTGCGCACCCGAGCGGAGAATTTGTCGGACAAAAATTGGTCGAGGTTGAGGGAGGATTCGTTGCCGAACGTCTCTGACATCTCCTCAGCGATGTCCGGAGTCAGGTAGGAGGGGCGGATGTATTGAATCAGAAAATTCAAGTCTGACTCCGTGAACTCGGTGCTGGGTTCCTCCTCCACCTTCGCCTTGCCCTTGCCCTTGCCCTCAGCAGCCTGTTGTCCGTCCGCTTCCTCGCAGACGACCGGCTTGGGCTGCGGGAGATCGTAGATGTCGCCTCGTCCCTGGAGCTGGGCCAGACTGCTGCGCTCGGCGAGCTTCTCCTCTAAGCCGGCCTCGTATCCGTCTTCGCCTTCCTGCGGGATGTGGAACCATCCGCTGATCGCCATGCGCACCCGCTTCTTGGACTTGTCTTCGTTCTCCTTGGGGTGGTAGACTTCCTCGACGTCGTGGAAACTCTCGCCGGGCTGGACGGTGAAGAAGCTCAGCTGGTTGAAGGCAGGGGGAATGCTCAGGCTGAAGTCGGGGCTGGGAATCTTGACATCGTCGCCGTTGACATCCTTTTTCGTGGTGGTGGGGTACAGGCGCAATGCACCACCCCACTCCTCTTGCCACGGGGTGTCCGGGTCGGTCAGGTAGAGGATATAGGATACACGTCTGCTACCAATGACGTCGTCGTGGCACAGCAGGTGGCAGCCTTCGTTGTAGACGTTGATGGCCATGTCGGTCTTGCGACCGCTGAGCTTTCCGGATCCGGTCACGGCGGAGAGGTATTCGCGGAACCGAGCAGAGTACATAGCATCGCGCAACTTCAGGATCGAAGGGAGCTTCGACAGGGACTCATCATCAAGCCCGTCCAAGTTGGCCAGATCGCCAGACTGGAAGATCTTGTAAATATCGGTCTCCTTCTCGGTGAAGTCGACTTGGGCCTGGATTTCGTCGCGGACTGCTCGTAAGAGGGAGGGCTCGATCAAAGGGGAAATGACTCCATGCTTGTAACTTGAGCAATAGTTAGTCTCTTGTTTGAATGAAACATCTGGATGGGAGACGAATTGGTGATCGGGTTAGGTGGACGTACGGAGCAGACTGAGCATACTGCTCGGTATACTTCTGTTGCTCCGAGGGATCGAATAGACCGTCGCGGAAACGCGCAGCGGCTTCCTCGCTGGACAAGGCGCGCTTTTTCGTCTCCGGCTGACCCTTACTCGAGCTGCTGTCTGTCTTGCGCTTCATTTTGAGGGGTTTGAATGGGATGATATGAGAGGAGGGGGTGCCTGGGGAGGAAAATCAAGTTGCGACAACGGAGGGCCGGGGATCTTTTTGGCTAAATTTTAGTTTGGCGGTGAGGATTTTGCAGCTTCGATTCAGTCAGCCCACCCATCACCATCAGGCCATGCATCCATCTACGGTACGGTGCGGTCTCTACTTTCTTCTGCACGGTGGTAGAGATAGTCAATAAAGTATAGAATAGAAGAACGATGGGCGAAGTCACCCTAGTCATTCAATTGTTACATTGTCTATGGATGCGTTCTGTTGTTGCACCATTTGATGGCTGCGGTTCCTGAGTCGGCGGCTGGAAGCTTCGATTGCTCCGCACTGCCCGATAATGAATCCCCTGGCGATAAGCCGCCTATCATCTCCATTCAACCCGATTGCCCCATCACTTCCCATCTTCCACACTGCCTTCTGCCTACCACTTTCCACCTCTGCTACAGTACCACAGTCGCCCAAGCAAATATTATCCTGACAATCAGGGCCATAGTACTTCCTTATCTATCCTCTGCTGGCAGACAAACAGCTCGCCTCACTCTTCCACCTCCTAACACCCCAACACCGACCCCTCAGTGAGCACAGCGCAGACGTCATTGAGCGCCGATCGCGGCAAAGCAGTCAATCGATCCAGCAATCCGCCTGATAGAGGGTTCGATCCTGTCCTTCATTTTCGCCCCTCAATCATTCTCCAAGTCAAAGTCAACCTGCACGGGGAGCAACACAGGATATGCAGCCTGTACAAGAATCCCAAGAAAGTTCGCCTGAGCGGCCAGGGACTCCGCCGCGCCCGCCGTATTCTCCTGTGACACCGACCTTTGCGCATCTCGCACCTGTCATCCCTCCCTCCGCGGCAAACGGGGTGTCGCACTCCATCGTCCCTCCCGCCACATCACCCTCTCCCACAACAGCTGCACCGCCCTACAACAGCTTGACGCCGGACTTTGCTCCTCCCCCGCCGGCCCCGCGCGCAGTACCCTTCTTCGCTGCGGAACCCCCTCCAGTGCCCATCTCCGAGAGCGAGAACCCCGATGCGATCGCACTGCGGTCCGCTATCTCGATCTTGCAGCTCCAAAAGCAGCAGAGCTTGCGAGATATCCGGACGTTAGATCATATGAAACGGGTGGCGGCGGCGGACCCGGAAGGCTTTGCGCGCGAACTGGCTGCGGGGAATCTCACGGCGAAAGATAAGGGCGGGTTTATCAACTTCAACCATGACACTACGGATGGCGACGAGAAGGAAGATGAGGATGATGAGATGGAGGATGTTGATTCGAAGGAAGGGAAGGCATCTGGGTATGGAACGATCCCCCCTCCTCAGAACGTGGTCCGGATGCCTCCTATCAACTGGGCCAAGTATCATATCGTGGGCGAATCGTTAGATACGATGCACGAGGAACAGCGGCGCCGGCCATCCGCGGGGGAGCCGCGAAGGGATGAAAGCGCTCAGCGGGCCCCAGAGTATCTCCTGGCTTCACCGTATCGACCGTTGACGGACAAGCTGGACAGCTCGAGCAAGGCCAAGGGGACTGGAGCCAAGAGCAAGAAGTCCTGATCAAGCCTCATTCTCTAAAATCAAACTCTGTTTGGTAAGTCGACTAGACAGTGGCAAAATTAGCATTCATATCAAGGGCTAAGGTCACAGAAGCGTGCAACAACCACAAAAAGAGAATACCAGCACACCTGCAGGAGACGTCCGCGTGTACAGTATATGACATGTGGAAACTTCCCAGCGATATCACAATCAATCAAGCACACCTGAACTCCTTTAATTCCGCAAGTGTCTTCTGAAGCCTCCCATGAGCCTTCTCAACCCGTTCAACTTGTGCCTCCATCTCCGCCTCAGTGGTGATCGGTGGGGTCGCCTTAAGCTGCACCTGGGGTAGCATGGCCATCACTTCGCGAACCTCGTCCTTGGACGCCTCCGACGCTTTCAACGCAATCATCGTCCGATACCGCAGACTCTCCACTGTTGCCTTCCTCCTGTGCTCCTGTTCAATGATCCCAAGCTTTCGTTTTTCCTGACCAACCTGATCACACCCGCATGCATGTGCGCTCAGCCAGGCCTGCGCTTCGGGACAATCGGCCCGCGTCTGCATGACGATGTCGGCGACGGCCTCACGCGACAGAGGTGGGTTTGAATCGCTACCATCATACCGCGGCACCATCTGTCCAGATACCTTCTTGCTCTATATTTCGGTTTCAATGTCAGCAGGGTGTACCCCCATAAACTCGTCGTGTGTCTTCTTTTCATTCCATACCCCAATATGTATCTTCAACCCCACCTGATCAACCTTCACATGTACTGCTTCATCCTCAGTGTCCAGTGTTGCAAACGGGGACGCAAGCTTCGCGGCTTTCTCCGCCCAGAACTTTGCCCACGCCAGCTGGGACCTTTGGAAGGTGTAGAAACTGTCGTGCTCACAGCGCTTGGATCGGTCGTGAGCGGCGGTGGAGGTGGAGGCGGAGGCGTCAGGCTCTCTCGCGCTAGGGTGAGGGCGTGGGTGAGGAGGAGGTACCGGACTGGGGGGTGGCAATTGGGTGGCCTTGCGTTTCTTTCTTCCCATCTTGGAATCTAGGATATGAGGGAGACGAGCTTAGTCTGGTTGAATCTTTGATCGGTCTGAACGGAGGAGTAGTTCGTTGCCTGAGAATGAGCAGATGAGATGACAAGATGAGTTGAAGTAGAGATGAGATGAGATTAAGTGTAGGTGAAATGAGAGGAAGGATGAGGTTCAAAGTGGATCATGTCGATTACACCCCTCTCTCACGCACACACTCTCAACGGGGTCTGTAACTCCTGAGGTACTAGAGCATTGTACAAGCCTGTGCCAGGCCATGGTGGTCAGTGTAAAGCTTGAGGTGCTGAATACATGCTGAAGAAGTACGTTAGGATACTGTATGCTAGGAAGAAAGCTACTATCCAATACCAAAAAATATCTTTAGTATATAGGTTATTAGATTATATAGTTCTAATCCAGTATCTAAAGTAAACTCTCAAAAAATCCTAGAAATGCCAAAGAGTTATACGTCTAAATAGAGATACTATTGTTCCTAATTATATATTCAAAATAATCAAACTGGATTAGATCTGTTAACAGTATACTAGTTCTGTTAGATCTAATCAACATAGTATCTAGCTTATAAGACTTTTAAAGGTTGGGTGACATTATTTTGCTCTGTAACTGGGTCTATAGGTAACCTGCCTGTAACAGCTGTCTCTAACATCCCCTCATTCAAGTATCATATCATCTGGAAAGGGGAGTATAGCGCCAGCTCCATAGAGAAGCATCGACGTGCAGCGAGGAGCCGGCAAATAGCCACAACAACAACGTCTGAGTTCAAAATCGGAAGTGTAAGCAATGAATCCCGAAGAATAATGTACATGTATACGGCTTCATTTATCACATTCAAGTGTTGGATACCTATAATCCAACACATCTAGCCGGAGAAACAACCAAAACAGAGCAAGTGTTAGAGACACCGTGGACCTACGTTCAAGCAACACCACGACCAACATCTTCCCCCTCAAAAAATCAAAGCTTAGCTTTAATCCCTTCCTCCCAAGCCTCCACCCTCACCCTCGCGGCCCCCTCCTCCTCAGCCTTCTGCTCCTCTACGCGATCCCTCCACGCGACCATCTCCGCATGTGAATCCAGAATCCTCAACGACTGCCGCCACATCTCCTCCTTCATCATCCCATAGATCCCTGTGGCGGCTTTTGTCTGCAGCCCGCGGTCGCGCACGAACTGCACCGCCTCCGCCAGCCCGCCGTACCCGTCAACCAACCCGGCCTCTTTGGAGGCGGCGGGCCCACCGAACCGCCGCGCCTCGAGCACGAGGTCGCGGAACGCGGTCGCCGACAGCTTCTCCCGGAAGACGCTCATCATGGGCGACTGCAGCGGCACCCCGAACTCCAGCTCGTTGATGCACAGGAATCCCTTGCTGGGGTTCTGGATCCGGTAGTCGTGGTACATGGCCAGCATGAGGCCGCCGGCGAAGGCGTGCCCGTTCAGTAGGGCGAGGGTTGGCATGGGGTAGCTTTTGCTGGGTTAGGTCTACATATCCATATCTTTGAGGGCGGGAGGAAGGGGAGAGGGGGAGAGGGGCAACCTACGTGAGTAACCGCCGAAACAACTTCCATAGCCAATTCTCGACGAAGCCCTCGGTGGACTGCGCGAGTTCGAGGTCGAGACCATTGCTGTAGAATTTGGGGATGCCGCTCGTGGTGATCACGACGCCCTTGGGGTAGCGGTGTTCGATGATGTCGAGGGCCAGCAGGAAGGCGTCGATGAAGGTTGGCGTGAGGCGGTTGTCGTTGGGGGAGGTGAAGGTGAGGATGTAGATGTTGCGGTCCTGTTCCGCCGGGGACGGGTTACTGCAGGTGAAGGTGCCGTTGGTGGAGGTGATGGGGATGGTGAAGAGCGGCGGTGTGGGGTTGGGTGTGGCCATGGTGATGAACGGAGCAAATGCTGTGACTCTAGGATACTGTACTGTGTCTATGCTCTACTTATGGAGTGCTATGATCTTATACGATAGGTGAAATGCGGAGAGTGGAGAGAAGTATAAGGGGAGCGGAGCGGAGGGAGAAACTGATAATGTAATCATGCCGCTGTCCGCGGCATCACATGCTGCTACTAGGTAATTCGGCCCAGCGTCATCCACCGACTTCCTCCTACACATGCACTCAACCCACTATGTTCTCCTTCAGCTCTATCTGGAAGCGGGCCTTCAATTCCTCGCGCAGCATCTCGGCAATCCGGGCATTCGTCCACGGCGCCACCATGCCCTTCTCCTGAATCCGACCCTCCAGCACCGCCAACACGCCCACCGCACACGGCAACCCCACCAATTTGGCCATGGCGCTGCGCGACCCCGGCCCAACCGGCTCACCATACTCCACCAGCGTGCTGGTGCGCCTCTCTCGCGACCCATCAGAGTTCTCGATATCGAAAAGATGCTGCAGCACGATCATATCCCGCTCGCCGGGCTGATACGCCATCTGCCGCTCCAACACGGCACAGAGCGTATCCAGAGGCGTGTCGCGTCCGTCCACAAGCCGGTTCTCATCGAACAGTCCCAGCCAGCGAAGGCTTGATAGCACACGATCGATCTCCTCCTCCTTCTTCTCCTTCTCAGCGAGGATAACCGAGCACTTCCTCACCACAGCGTTCTGCAGTTCATCCGCAGATGCAGACGCGGCAAGCCCCAGAAGCTGCGCAGTCAACTGCGCCCACGTCAATCTTCCACTGAAATCCGTCGCAAGCGCCGGGTTCTTCTCCTGGGAGAAGTACCCCAACCCCACCAGCGCGCGAATGACCTCCGGAAACCCCGCGTACCGCAGTGTGCCACGGAAGACCGTGTGCGCCTCCGGGATGGCGTAGGACACCCGGAGGCCAGCCGAATCCCGGTTGGGATATCCGACCAAGTTAAATCCGGGGAAGAGGCGCTGCGTCGTGGCGGCCGCCATCAGGTCCTTGCCTTCCACCGAGGTGATCTGGCCGTCGCGGTACCACTGCGCCGAGTTGAGGAGCGCCAGGAGCCCACCGCGGGGGCTCCATGAGAACTTATACCCCAACGGGTTGTCGGAGTTCTCCGGGGCGGGCAGCGCGCCGCACCAGCTGGTGAACGCGCGAATCTTGCCCCCGGCCCCGTGGACTTCGTCGATCGTCTTCACCGCGTAGAGGTGGTCGATGCCGGGGTCGAGGCCGATCTCGTTGAGGACGGTCACGCCGGCGGATCGGGCGGGGGCATCGAGCTCCCTCAGCGCCGGGGAGATGAAGCTGGTCGTCACGACGGGCTTGTTGTGCGCGATTGCGGCTTTCACGACGGTGGCGTGGTGGATGTAGGGGATTAGGGAGATGATTATGTCGGCTTGGGAGACGGCGGCGTCGAGCTTAGCGGGTTCGTTGGCAACGTCGAGGGCGATGGCTGTTGTGTTACTGTAGTTGCCAGCGAGGGACTGTGCGGCGCTGAGCGTGCGGCAGGCCACAGTGACATGGACCCCGGCGTCGGAGAGGGCTTGCACCGCTGGCTCGCAGACGAATCCTGCACCTAGAAGAAGGGCTTTCTTACCGGTGGCAGAGGACATGGTTGATACGTTGTGGAGGAAGGGAGGTTACTGCTGACAATGGGAAAACAGATGAAAGGAAAAGGACTTTAGGGTATCTGGGAAGGTAGATGCGTGGGAGATGATGGGCACACGTTCTGACAAAGAGTCAACGGCAAACAAGGCTAGCTGTTAAGAACTTTCACTTTACTCCAGCAGCCAATGGCTTTCCCTTCCTCTCATATCTCCGTGCTCTATTGCGTGCTCTACGTTATGGGCACGGTGTGCGCTAAGGTAAGCATATCAAGCGCGGTATGTGCTCCATGACTCACACCTGCCATACTAAGAACCATTAGTTAGTGGCTCTCTCATGATCATGCATAGCCCTAGGTGGTATAGATCCAGTCCATTCAGCAGTATCTAATCTGCCATTAGCTGTGCGAAAGCGCTATCCCTCAATTGCCTTGATGCTTCTGTGCAGTGGACTATGATTATCATCCATTCCGCCTGAAGCTTAGCTTAGCTTACATATATGGCCCCATATAGCGAAATGATGCGAATAAAGTAACTTGACCAGACCACCATTCTCCCCTTAGACAAGCAACATGCCATGAAGCGATAATAATAATATTACATCCTTCTCGCTCAGCGAACAGCGAGATACACTAAGCTACTTGAAACTTCAATCCGTGAAGGGAGTGTGTGGTCTCTCTCTATGGGACTCCACCTGAAAAGCTATTGGCTTTTCCATGCGATTTAGTCCTCTGCTGGAACGACTCGATGGGCCTTATCTGGTATCATCTGATACTAGAATAATGTGGTGTGCTGATATCATCCAGGTGTTGCATCGATAGTATATTGGGCAACGCAAAACCCAAGCAACTAGGTTCCGGCAAACCGCAAAACAGTTAGTGATGGCAATTTGCAATTTACCCAAGGAGTCGAAACAAATCCAAATAATTTCGAAGATCCAATCACAAATACCTGATACAGTCGACTCTCATCTCTCCGCTCGGCCTCTCCACCGCAACCGACATCATCACTGACGTCATTCCATCCTCATACTCATAACCCAACCCAGCTCACTACAAAACCTAGCATTACAGAGCACTACAAACCACAATTTCACTTCCAGACAGCTTTTACACGAGGCAAACACACACACACGCACACACACAATGCAATCAACTCACCAACCCACCCAATCCGCCCAACCCCCCAAAGAAGCCGGCTACAACCAAGCCTCCAACCCGGTGACGCAGACGCCCTCCGAGCAGCGCGCACCACCCCAACAACCCTCAACCCGCCAGCGCGGGGACCCGACCTCCTCCATCACGCGGCGGACTGCCGACTCGCGCCCGGCCAACGACGAGCGCCTGCGCCAGCTGAACGCGGACCGCGAGCAGGAGCGCGAGGCCCTGCACCGGGCGGGGTCGGACGTCGATCTGGAGTACGGGGTCGAGCAGCAGCCGGCGGAGGGGGAGATCGCCCACGCAGTCGAGAAGACGTCCGGCCGGGCGCGCGCGCGAGCGCAGGCCGGGGCCCATGCCGGGGCGGTGGGCAGTGCGGGTGGACCGGGGGGCCCCGGGTATGAGAAGGGGTTGGCGGCGGATTTAGACCGCAAGGCTGACGAGCATGAGCGGGTGCTGGGCGAGCGGGTGGAACAGTCGCCGGCGGAGCCGGACGATGAGGGGGTATTGGCGGAGAGGGAGGCCGTGAGGGAGCGGAAGTTGAAGCAGGATCGTGAGCTGGATGTCAAGGGGGCGGTCTCCAGAGGCACGGGGGATCCTGTTGTTGGTTGATGCTCGCGCTGCTTAATGGCTTGACATTGAGGCATATATTGTTAACAATATTCTGATATTTGTCTGTCGTATCCGAGATGTTCTAATGATTAATGTAGAGATAATATTGGTGTTTTTCTTTTTTTTTTTTTTTTTGCGGCTGTTTGACCAGGCGGTGCCGCGAGGGTATCACAGTTTACATCAATTTCAATCATCAGCATCGTCTCCTTCTCCGATGGATACTTTCTTTAATGCCAGATCCTGCTTCAGGTCATTGATGCGCTTGGCCAGCTTGTTCTTAAGAATGGCGTTGGGCATGTTCTCCCACTTGACGGTCTCGGCACGAATCAAAGCCTCCAGCTCGTCAATTTCCTCGCGCTGCTGCTGGAGCTGGCGTTGTTGCTCCAATTGCTCTTCATCCATTTCGTCGCCCGGTTCATCATTATCCTCACCATCCGATCCGTCACTCTCGTCGCCTGATGAGTCGGCTGCTGGTGTGGAGGGTTTGGTCGCCATAGGCGTGCCGGCCTGGTAGACTCCAGCGTCTGACTGCGGGCCGCTCGCAGCAGCGGTGGTTGCGGCGGCGGCGGCAGCAGCAGCAGCAGCATCACCCTCGTCTCCGGCAGCCAGGGCAGCCTCCATTTCAGCGGCGAGAGCGTCCTCGAAATCTTCTTCAAACAGAGCCCCAGCGTCCATACCCACATCAATTTCGCCCTCTGCATCTTGTTCTTCGTCGTAGTACTCGTCACCGTAGTCTTCATACTCTCCACTTTGCACTATACCCTCGTTCCGATTCAGCGAGGCAGCATCCACCAACTCGTAGCGAGGCGGGGCTAGCGAGGCTTCGTCCTGCGCGACCATCTCCTCCACCGCTTTCTCGACCTGCTCGATCGTTCGGGTGCTGACCCGCTCCCGGAACCGACGCCTTCGAACCCACCGCAGAGGCGGCGCCAGACCATGCGGATACTGCAGATTCTTATCATCCGTCAGGGAAACCTCGTCCGGTATTGGATAATCCATGGCTTCTTGTTCATTGGCCACCGGACCCAGTATCAGCAGCATCTGGCAGATATCCGCCGACTTGTACCATCCGCGCCGATCCCAACTCTTCATCCCCTCGATGATGCACGGCAAGTCCACCAGCGCGGCGGCGTACTGGCGGTCACGGACCTTGAAGATGGAACGGCGACCTTCGCGCGTCAGCGGCTTGAAGGAGAACTCCGACCGGTCGAACCGGCGCTCGGCGATGGCACGTCGAAGATATTCACAGTCGTCCCCAGGCAGCATGCGTAGAATAAACTGTTCTTCGATCGCGGGATCGATCTCCGTGTCGGAGGCTTCCGAATCGTAGCCCACACCTGTCGGGCGATTGGGGACCAGCCCCTTGTTCTTGATCCGGATGGACTGCACGCCTGGTTTCTTGGCGGGGTTAATCAGCTTGAGGCGTTTGGGGCCTGCTGCAGCGGATGCGGTCGCGACGGGGGCGGCGGCGGACGGTTCTGGCACCGCGGGCCCCTCTGCTGGGCGCTTCTTCGACGGTTTTTTCTTCTTCGGCTTTTCATCTTCGCCTGCGCCTTCGGCAACGGATGGTTTTCGTGGGATCTTTAGCGTGATCTTGCGTTGGGGAGTCTCCGTCGGCTTTGGTGTGGGAGGGGCAGGCTGGGATGGGGTCGAGGGCGCTGATGCTTTCGCCTTGTTCTTGTTGAAGGTGAGCTTCAGAGACGGCCGGGGGGTCTCCGACATGATGGAAGTGGTTCCACCAGACTGGCGGTGAGTGTCAGCTGTTAGATTTCGAATAATGAGAGGCGATTTCCGGAGGTTCTGAGGGAGGAAATGAGAAACGAGAGTGGGAGGGTGTAATGGCAAGAGATGGTTGAAGGGTGGTAGGCGGAGGAGGAAGGAAAGGCGGAAGAGCGACACGGCCTGCTTGGATTCCGCTTGTTCCTCCTCTACTTTCCACCCTTCTTATCTTCTCTAATTCATGTGCAAGCCCCAACTACCTTATTCTACAGCTTGATTCGATTAATCGCCTGGTAGAGAAGGTTCCATCACTTTAAATAGATCTCTGTTCCACCTCACTGTCATCAAATTTTCAGCCATGTCCGGCTCCAACCTACACAACGCTCTCCTCCGTCCTCCGATCATTCAGATCCTGCGCGCTGCAGGCTTCCACTCGACGCGTCCTTCAGTCCTGGACACTCTCGCCGATCTCACTGCCCGATACATCATGCTCCTTGCCTCATCCACAAGCGCTCATGCCGCCAACGCCCACCCCGAAGACCCCATCCCCGTGCTCGAAGATATTTACCAGGCCTTACAAGATGCAGGCGCGTTGCGGCCGCAGCTGCGGGAGTGGGAGGAGGAATGGCAAGGGGAAGAGGACATGCGAGGACTAGAAGGGTTTCTGTCGTGGTTCACCGGCCCCGCCAACCGCGAGATCCGGCGCATCGCTGGATTCGTGCCCAGTGAAGGGGACATGGTGGACGCGGACTCCCTGGAGAAGGAGGACTTCCTGACAGCCCTGAAGAAGAAACACAGCAAGACGGGAGAAGAGTCGCGATATGCAGGGACCGTGCTGGGAAAGAGCGGCGAGGAACACCCGATCGTGATCGAGGGCGGTGCGCCGACCCTGCAGGATTGGGGGTCCCAAATGCGATCCCGTGCACCGTATATGGCCGACAGCGACTCCTCGGTCGTGAGCAGTGCGCCGAGTAATCTTTCTGACGGAGAGGGAATGGACGTGTGATGGGATAGATGGGAGTGTGCCGCTTCGATCTACGATGACACTTTTGGTTTCCTTGGTCACCCTCGACCAGGAGGAGACCCAGCACCAAGTCAAGCGCGGAATCTTCGCCTATGAGGATACCCCATCTCTACACGTTCGGGACCCAATTCGCCCATTTGACCTCAGTTGGCTGGTCCAGCTGAACGGCATTGCTAGTAGCAAAATGCCATCCCATTCGCCATTTGGCCGGGGGCACAAACCTCCTCCGACCTAGATCCTTGAAGCACGGGAGCTACGCCGTTCAAATTCGCAACATGAGCGGTGTAGCCGAGTCCAGCGCAGAATTGAGCAAGAGGACGATGTCATTGCGAGAATGCATCTGAGGGATGGCAGGATGACATGGAGGCTTTCATGTATCTACCTTACCAGGGGCGCAATTCAGGAGCCCCGCGTACTTGAGATGAGCTAAATGTTTGAAACATCTCAGCCACTAAGATGAATTCTTATGATTCTTTCTGTCCTACAATCTGAGAAAGTCTAGGCAGTTCTTGGCCGGCCGGCGGCGGGAGGTTGGTCTTCATCCAACCGCCTACGGATAATTCCAGTTGACCTAATCTCCTCCCCTCACCTTCCCTCCTCTCGACAATAACAACTCTCCGCACCGAAACACGTCCACCCACCATGGTCTACGCCTTCACCCTTCCGACCACCTCTCATCTCTCCTTCCAGAACTTCCTCTCATCCAGCACACATCCGTCCCTCCCGCAAGCGGCCACCACCGCCCGTCATGCCCTGCGTCAGGCACTCAAAGCCCACAAGCGTCTACCCCGCGGCCCGCAACAAGACGCGCACCTATCCACCCTCTTGACCACCCTAACCACCTACCTCCCCTATCTCGAAGCCATCTCCAGCGGTCTAAGCAGCAAACCCAGCGACGCGACCAGCGAAGAGATCGAGATCACCCTCCACAGCGAGATCGTCACCTTCTGGCGCCCGACCCTCACCACCGCCCTCACCACCGCCCCCAGCACCACCCTATCACTCAAACACCTCCCTACCTCCCCATCCGCCTTCTCTGCCAGCGGCGGCAGCGGCGGCAGCAAACTCCTCAGCGGCAATGGTCACCGGATCCGCGGCGAGGGCATTGACTTCGAGATTGCCTACGTGCTCACGACGCTGGGCTATGTACTCAGCCTGCTCGCGCACACGGGGCTGATGCGGACACTCTACGCCGCCATGACCCCGACGCCGGACCAACGCACCGCCGCCGTCCAAACGGCCACCCGATACCTCCTCCAAGCCAGCGCGATCCACAATCTCCTCGCCTCATCCCCTGCCTTCGCGACCGCCGCCCGCGCCATTGCCGCGACATTCCCGCAAGCAACCCCCACCACCACCACCACCACTACTACCACCACCATCCCCTCCCTCCCCGACCTCGACCCGGGCACCCAAACCGCGCTCTCCTCCCTCGCCCTCGCAGAGGCCACCCTCCTCGCCGTCTTGAAAGACGACTCCTACGTCTTCGCCTGCATCCAGGCGCGGAACCCCCGGGACAAGGATTGGATGGTCCGGGCGCCGGAGATCCCGAAGGTGCGGGCGCACCTTTTTGCGCGCCTGTGCATCCGGGCGGCCGAGTACGCGGAGCAAGCGGCGGCGGGGCTGGGGTCCGTCGTGGGCAAGACTGGGAAGACCGGGGCCATTGAGGCGGAGCTGTTGGGGTACACGCGGGTGCTGGGCCGGGTGGCGCGCGCCCGCGCGTGTCGGTTCTTCGGGGTCGATGCGGAGTTGGCGGGGAAGATTGGGGAGGCGATTGCGTGGTTGCAGGCCGCTAAGGGGGCGCTGGGGGTGAGGAGCCGTGGCGGCGGGAAGACGGAGGTGGAGAAGGAGGCGGCGTCGAAGGGTAGTAGTAAGTTCTCCAAGTTCAAGCAGGGGTTCAAGGAGAAACTCGAGGAGAAGAAGATGGAGAAGGATGCTGGGTCGCCGGGTAGTAGTGGTGATAAGAAGGAGCTCGGGCCTGGGGACAATGCGGGGAGAGATGAGGAAGGACGGGTGATTGAGATGTTGGAGACCAAGTGGGTGCGCATGAACAATACGGTTGGTTTTTCTTTCTGCTTTTGTATGAGTGAAGGGACAGGATGCTGACGGTTGACGACAGATTAACACCCAGTTGATCCCGCCGTCGGCGGATCTGTTGGCGAATTTACCTTCGGGTCGTGACATCCATGCTCCGCCGGGTGCGTACCGAATCCCCTCGCTGGACGAGGAGCAGCTGGTGCGCATGCGTGCGCCGCCGGCGGAGGATGAGTTTGGGCCGGGCAGCGATGTCGAGGAAAGCGATGAGGAGCCTGCTGGCGTGTCGAGGGTGTGGACGCCCGGGACCGTGCCGGGGCGGACGGATAGTGCATATTATTGATACCCTGTTGGCGAGCGGAGGAGTTTGGGCAGATGCAACATTTGTCTCATACAAATCGAGTCCAGATCGCATTATCTCACCATTGCCCTCCTCCCCCCTCCTCCTCTAAATCCTCTCCTCTACATCCACCAACCTCACCTTCCGCAGCCTGAAGAAGAAAAAGATCCCAATATCGATATTTTCCACCCCAAAACCAATGACATACATAGCACAGGTGAGTAGGTGTGTAGATAGGTAGGTAGGTAGTATAGCTAAAGCAGACAAGAAAAAAAAAATAAAGAAACCGTCAAGAAACTTCGAAAAACATGTAGTACAACCATGACACAAAACAAGATGATATAGTATAAACACCATCCCTGTTCCCCGCGATGCTCATCACCAGGGTTATGAAAAGCCCCCCTCCGTTCCGTTTCCTTCACTCCATTCTATCACCCGTTCCACTCCCCAAGCTTCCGCAGGATTGAAGCAGAATTTAAGCAGACTTCTCCTGCGAGAAGTGGTTCTTCTCCTGGAAGAGATAACCCTTGATCTTGCGCTCGCCGAGGAGCTCGAAGTATTTTTCTGGACACAAGAAAAAAGAATTAGCATATGCTTCAAGCCTCGGTAGAACACGCAGTAGATATTGGAGAGTTGCATCCAGACAATTCCCCCTCCCCTCCCTTCAACAAGAGGAATAGACACCCATCCTCAAGCGTAACTGTAACCACCCTCTCAATCTCAATCTCAACCTCGACCTCAGCGCTCAGTTTCAACTACCCCAATCAATCCCTCATCCTATCCCACTCCCAATACCACCCCACTCCAATGCTTTACCCCCTCCCACCCCCAGAAACCCCCAGAAACCCACAGTAAAGACACAGAAAAAAAAAAAAAAAAAAGGAAGGTACATACCCCTCAAAACCCCACATTTCTCAAGGTGGTTGACGCCCTCGCGCGCATAGCACTTGCCCAGCTCCTCGCCGACCAGCCGCGACATCATGCTGCGGACCCACTGCTCGCGGATGATGGCGTCGCGGGCATTGTGCAGCGCGACGTTGTCCTCGTAGTCGACGCCGTCGTAGGTCGGGGCCACGGTGGGCTTCTTGGCCAGGAAGGCGGCGGATTCCGGGGTGGGCATTGCGATGGGTTAGGGATTTCTTTTGGTTCGTTGCAGACAAAAGAGTTAAGAGCGAGGGTAAGGTGTCACTCCGAGGTGAAGGCGCGTGGTGGAGGGGATTCAATTGCGGAATTGGAGGGCGAGACTTTCGGTCGGAGGGTCGGTTTTGGACGGAGCAGAGAGGTTCAAGGTTCATGAAGTTGGAATTGAGAGAGGATGCCGGCCGGAGCAAATGCAATTGGGGGGTTGTGATTGGGTGGGGTGGTTGGGCGGTCTGCGGTGCGTTATTGCGCACTACAGGTAGGAAGTAGGGTGGGCGGGAGGGTGCTTGTCTGCTGCTTTCACTCGGAGGTTATGATGATTAGTCATGAAATTGTTTTATGAAGCTGGTTTTTTGTATGAGTAGATGTTATGGGTGATGTGTTTGGTACGTCAAGTTCACTTAAATTAAATGATGTAAGAGGTTCATTGAGTTCCTCAGCGAAGATTATACTCATACAAGACCAAATCGAAACGCCTGGCCAATTTACACAAAAGTCCCACATGAATGCACAAGTAGTCGCCAAACTCCTCATCTCCTATCATGCAAGCCTCACAAACCCATCGTGAACACCGATCATTGCGTCTCCTCTTCTACGCGAGGAAAGAGCTTGTCGCGGAGCTCGTTCAGCCGTTCCTTGACCCGCTCCCACGGTGGGCGATTCAACTGTTTGCTGTACTCGCGATACTGGTACATTTCACCCCAGCAGTCCCGACCAAAATTACAGCCTGCCATGTTGACCAAGAAATCTCCCTCGTCGTAATGGACGTTCCGATCACCCCCGTCGCCGCAGGCGCCAGGAGGGAAGGAGTTGATGTGCCGCTGGGGAAGGAAGCCCACCCCGCTGCGGACCCACGGCTGGTTGGTGTAGAGATACTCCAGCGCATCTTGCTCCTTGTGCTCCCACTCCATATGCTTCTGTTCGTACATCACGGGGTCCCACCAGGCGTCCAGCAGTCGATCGGCCCACAGGGATCGTCGAATGAAGAAGGACCCGAGGTTGAACCCGCCGCAGTCTTGCGAGAGAAGGAAATTGATCGAGGACGTATCGTTATCCCCGCTGGGCGAGAGAGAAACTTTGTCCAAGTAAGGATCGTTGAGAGGGTGACTGATGCCGAGTGGGTTATAGACGTTGATATCGCGATAAGCAATTTCGCCAAGCCGGTGGAATATATGGTCCTGTAGGGAGTACGAGTACTCCATGATCCAGGTGTTCAGGTCTAACCACCAGAACCTACAGCAAAATTAGCCATCACACACATTCCCTTTCCTTTGTAGCGTACAGCATAACTTACCACTCCGCATCGGGGTATTTGCGCATGGCTTCCCGAATGATGTCAACCTTCTCCCAATTTTCGCGCCATTCATGTGAGTAGCGCTTCTTGGCCAGCATGTTGACCGTCTCTAGCTCGTACCCCCAATGCTTGGCGTAGTGATCCTTGTTTCCGATGCTGTTGCGTTCGATCGCCCATTCCCGCGCGCCCTTCCACTCCATCACTCCCCCTTCGATATTCGACTCCAGGATGATGACGAACTTGCGCCCACCACCCAATGACGACCGTCGGTAGGCCTCGATGATCCCTGTACCAACGGGTTAGTGACTCATGTTGCGCGCGCATACGATGTCTGTCCCTACGTACGTGTCCACAGAAAGACATATCCGAGCGCGAGAGCGACCAGAACCAGTAACAGCCGCAAGCGCCTACGTCGAAACACCGCCCTGCCAAATCCCCAGGAGCGCCAGCCGTCCTTCGAAGTAAACGAGTACCCGCGCCCGAATTCGTCTTTATCAACATAGCCATTCGGGGATCCAGACCCAAGGCGAAAGCGCGGCAGCGTCGCAGACAACTGGCGCCTCGACCGCGAGAAGAATCCGTTGTTCTTGGTTGCGAAGGATGGATAGCCTCGCACCTCGTCGCTCTTGGCTTTGGCGACAGCCCATGAGATCCCACTCGGCCCCAGGGCAGTCGGGGAGAGCAAGCCACTGTGAGGCGTGGATGTGCCACTGCCGTGTGTAAATCCGGGGCTGGACCATCCTCCTACCCCCGGCGGGTGGGGAGATGGTGACCGGGAAAACGACATGGGCGGGGTGTCGGAGCTGACCAAGACGAGAAAAAGTGGCGATTTCAAGCGAACACGACGGCCACTCACGCTGAGGTGTTAATGAACAGGTAGTCGGCGCAACTGTCGGAGGAGACGAGCGCGTAGGGAGAGGGATGCCGACTCATGGACAGAAAGGCTCTAAGACGGGGGAACAGAGAGAAAAAAGGACCCAGAGCGCCGTGAGGGAGAGATATGGTCAACATGGAGGCTACCAGATAACAACAACCAAGCCATTTGAGAAGAAAATTAAAAGTAAAATTAGCTGGTTGACGGAAAAGGAATGGGAGACAGGAACAGGCACAGAAACCCATCCGTGAACGGGTCTGCCCGTTTCCGTCGAACTCGAGGGAGCGTGGATGGCCACTTGTCACTCGCAACGGTTCTTTTCCTAGGGCACACGCTAGGGATGGCCCCAGCGGAACCTGGTTTAGGGACGGACAGAGAGCTACGGCCATAAGGTCGACAGCCACCGGGAATGTAGGTAGTAGAGCCGAATTATACCCTTCCGCGTGCGCGCGTGCGCCTACTTTCGGTGGGACATGACCATTGTCCATGAAGGTGCAGTTACTTGTCCCGTACAAAACAATTCTGTGACACGAACACAATGAGCAGCCGAATCTCAAACAAGATTAGGATTGGGGGATTTGCAATCGGTGGTTGGTGGGGATTAGAGAAAAGGAGATGAAGACTGTTACCAAAGGAAATTAAATCATTCAACCTTCAATGGGGAAGAGCCCCGCCCCCTCGCTTGGACCACGGCGAAGGAATCTTTGCCTGGCGGTTCTGCCTGGCATTCTTCCGGGTGCGGCGGTAGCTGGACCAATCCATCGATAACACTGTTTCGTATCTGCCACAGTAGGGATAACCAGGAAGGAGCCTCATGATTCAGGTGGATGGGTTGATTGAGTGAGTGTGTGTGGGTGTGTGCTCATACCATTGTGAGATTAATGATGATGGAGAACTTGATGATGATTGATAGTGCAATTGAAGCTAACCCGGGCTAAAAAGTAGGGGCTCCACCACACTAATCTCCAAGACTAACCCAATGGGTTTGGGGTTCGTCTCAGGGTCACTCGGCCCGAACTGGCTTTTGTATACATGACTCGGGACCTATGAGTACAACCACCAAAGCACTATTCTTCTAACCACAATGACTTGCCATAAAATGCCATAAATGTGGACGTTCTCGGCATATGCAGTATGTATACAACAGAGTAAATGATATCACAGGGGGTGTCTGTCATCTGGCTTTTCATCTTCAACATCCAGTCGTAGCTCCGTTTCATGCGCAATCAAGCAGTAACCCGTCCCAGTTTCCCTGAATTTGGCACAAATCCCAACCCAAAAATAAGTAAAAGCTTTCCAAAACGATTATATAAGATACCCCTGGCCGCTTTGTTTCTATCCAGCTCGGCCAAGCAAGAGCCTTCTTACTTCTTTCCATAGTCTTTCAGCACCGGAAGTTGATTAGCGGCTTTCTCCTTAGGCATCAGCACTTTGCGCACTGCGAACCCCTTCTCGGCTTCGGGTCGCGGACGCGCGCTGTCTCCATGATAAAACTCGCATTCGAACTTCAAGAACTTGTTTCGATGTTGCCAAATAGTAATGACGTCGCCGGTGTAAAGTTTACCGAAGTGGAAACCCTCCCGATTGTTCTTGTCCCCCTCAGGCCCACGTCGCAGCTCAGTGCCATTCACCCAGATACATTTGCGTGTTTTGGTGGATAGAATGGCCATTACCCCCGGCACAGTCAGCCATTCTTTGCCTTCGGCAATTTTGGCTTCGATGGCCGGCGCCCAGAAGGTGACCTCCAAGGCATAGGCAGGAACCCGTGTGTCCATTGGATCGGGGTAGCAGATGGTTGCTTGAGGCCCGCGACCCCATGAAGTCATCCGGTTCTCCAAGCGAAGGGTGAGGTCGAATATTGAGCCAGGCAGGGTACTCAACTTGCCAAGGAGAAGCCCAGACTCTTTCCGTGGAGCCATAGGTTGCGGAATTTGGAGTGGCACGTCATCCGGTCCAGGATCAGGTTCTGCAGGCGGCTCCGGAGGTTCTGGTCTCTTGCTTATATCTGGGAGCTGCTTCCCTGTTTTGGCATCGATGGTATTGGCCAGTTCGATACTGAAAATTTCCACTTCTCCGCTTTGAGCCTCAGGCTCTTGGGTCTTTTGCTTGGAGAAAGGCTCCGGACTTGAACTCTCACTGGCAGTATCAGGCATGGGCAGCTCTATCCGTCGACTGAATATGGCCGAAGGCTTGGGGGTCTCCTCAACAACATTGGTCCGCTGTTTTGTGCTCGAAGGTTGCTTGACCGGGTCGCCTATGTTCGCTTTAGTTGGCGGTTCCTGTGCCTCGGCGCCCTGGGGAATGGGACTCGATGTGCCAGGGTCGCGTGAGTTCACGTTCAGCTGCCCAATAAGTTTCTCAGCTCCCATCAAGCTAGGTGCAGATCCGGCAACGGGGTTTTCCGGGAGGGAGAGGATAGAAAATAGGCTGTTGCCGTCGCTTATCATCGACTCACCAGTTGAAGACACAAAGTCATGGATGCTGTAATCATCGCCCTCGAACGCGTCCACATTTTCCCCCAACGCGTGGGAACTGTGGAGGACCGACGGTGTGATCTCACCAAAGAGGCGTTTCGGGGTAGATTGTGCCACTGGCTGAAGGGACGGGAAGCTTTCAATCTCCGGAAACGACGGGTAATGGATATTGGCAGGGGGGTAATCCAGTTTGATTTTCTTGGATTGAGCCAGGTCGTCCCCCTCTTCATCTAGGATTTGGACCGCATTTTCGTTGAGCGAAAGCTGGGATGCGTCTAGCTCGTCCTCCACATCTTCCCCGATGTCTGAAAGCTCCTCGAGGATATCAGGTTTGACCTCCTCGTCCTCGTATTCGTCAAGATCGGGGATATTTGCAATCCATGGATGCTGGAAACATTGTTTCTGATTCGGTCGAGAATGGGGATCACGAGTCAAGAGTTGAGCAACAAAGTCGATGCCATCTTCTGAGACTCCCGCTGCACGCAGCAGGGAGTAATCGGCATCCTCAGTCATGATGATTCTAAGCATCTGGGCTCCCCTGTCATCGCCCCTCGGAGCGAACGGAGGGACACCGGCGAGTAAGTGGAAGAGGACAGCGCCCAGCGACCACATATCGACAGATTGACCGTAAGGAGACGTTTTCGGAGGCCTAAACATCAGTACGTTTTAAGTTGGAGACAGACATCATTAAACTTACGGATCGCCCAACCTACGCCGCTTCTTGATCTCTCCTCGCCGGTATGTCTCATATTCAGGATAAACCTCCGGGGCGCAATAGAGCAGGGTACCGCAGAAGGTCCTTAAGAATGTCTCTTCCTGGACGACTTTTGAGAGACCAAAGTCTGACAACTTGACCCTTAGTGGATCGAAAGAGGAAATCAGGATATTGTCGGGTTTGATGTCACGGTGTGTAATCTTGCGGGCGTGCAAATATTGCAATGCATGCAAAATTTGACGGGCCATAGGTTTCACCATGTCCTCTTGGATCTTGCCATGCGACTGTAAGTAGGTTGACAACTCGCCGCAAGGGACGTACTCCATGATGATGTAAATCCAACGCTCGTGTTCATAGTGTTCGATGTATTGTACAATGTTAGGCTGGAATTAGTCCAAGTCATTAGCTATTACAATCCGAAGCGGCAGCAAAGGAAAGGAGGGAACTTTACATGTTTCAAGTCTCTCATGATTTGCATCTCATTATCAACTTTCTTGTCGAGTATGCCGTTTTTTATGAACCGTCGCTTGTCGAGCTCTTTGGCGGCATACACCGCTCCATGCTGCTTTGTCGCGAGCTTGTAGACTGTTGCAAAGGCACCTTTTCCAATCTGACCGGTGACATTGTATGTTGATCCTCCAGACCAGTGCATCCCGTAGGTATTGGAGCCTGACAACTGCAAGGCTGGTGCGGGTGTCGCGCGAGGATTGCGCTGAGTCCTGCCGGGCTGTTGAGGCTGAAGCTTCGAGATCCGCTCGAAGTAGCGTAGTATGTTTTCGGTGTACTGCATCATGTAACCATCCCGGGAGGGCATGCGGACAATGAACCGAACCTCATCCGAGGCGTGGTCACCATTCATGACTTGGATCACTGAACCATTGACTAGCATGCGGCTTTTCTCTTTCTGAGTCTTCCGGAGACGGCAGTTGTCCACTATCGTACCATTGGTGGAGGTATCCTCAAGCATGAGAATGCCGTCCTGGGTCAAGAAGATACGACAGTGTGTGTTGGAGATTCGTCCCATATTGCCCTGCGCTGTGAGCAGAAGGTCGCAGCGGGCTGGGTTTCGTCCGAAGTAGAAGCCGGCACATGGGTCGCGCACTTGGGATGATAGGCGAAGAGCGAAGTCCAAGGCAGCAGTATCAGAACATTCATAGTCTAATGCGTGCCTTTGCAGAATGTGCTGGGGACTTTGGCGGGCGGTCGCTGCCACGGCTTCGTGCGCTGCAGGCGAGTTGGGGTGTAAGATACAGATGATGTCTGTCACATCATCTTCAAGAAGACCGGAGTTGTTGTAGCCAGCACGGCGAGGGTCCGTACACGGCTGGGTTGATTCCTGAGTTGCCTCCATTTGTGACGATGACAAGGGTTTGCAGTGAGTGATAAAGAAAGGCGTTCAAGCCGAGAAGTGTGTATATGGGTAGAGATAACGTGAAGCTATAGACAGAAAAAGACTGAGAGTGAAAAGATAATGTGCTCGTGATTAGTCGTGAAAATGCAAGGAAAGATATGCGTAACCAAGGCGATTATCAACACGGCTGATTCGCACGGCTGCATCCAAGTATAAGTCTCTGCAACATGCACTTTCCCATTTTATGTGTGCGGTTCGTGATACAAAGCGCCAAGTGCTCTTACCTCGCGAAAACCAAAAACTAGCAACTTATGCACACAGTGCTAAGTCTTGTTTATCCCGGGGCAAGCTTTTCAGAACCAAGATAATATGTCCACAGCGGTTGATACTGCCTGGTTAGTTATCACAGGCTGTGAGCAAAATAACTATGTATCGCACAGTCTAGCTTCATAGCAAGCAATATCGAGCTGGTGTAGTATTTGAGCTCTTGATCGACTCGAGCTTCAGCGATCGATCGTACGCGCTGTGTATGTTCAAGTCGGCGATGCAGCGCAAAGCTGACTCATTGAAACAAGGAGTGAAGGGAGCGGTGTCGACCGGGCCGTCTGGATCGGATAATGCGATATTTCATCTGATCATATCTAAAGCCGGGCACAAAGCATTATTAGTCAAGATGTCTCTCGATCGATAGTTAAGAGGTATTCCACTGGGGAAAAGGAAAACCAAACTTACACGATTGACGTGCTCTCCCCGCCAGCCACCCACTCACTACAAGTCCAGATTGCTGCGATGGTCTCAGCTTCGAAGGCGGAACCAATAATAGAGACGAGAGAAGAGGCTGTCCGGCAGGCGGCGTCGTCGGAGAAACATGCAGCAAGGCGAAAAGAAGGCAAGGCTGAGGGAGACTCGGAGGCACCGCTGCAGTAAGTTGTTTGGTTATTTTGAGCTCCCGCCGAAGCCCCAGGCATCAACCCAACCTAGCCACGGGTGCGCTAATCTAATTGGTGCCTGGCCAAAGGGAGTCCTGGCCTGAGAGGCGGGCGGCAGTTACACCAAAGATGATCCGTGGATGCAAGCCGGCAGCTACTGCTACTACGTAGATATGCTTGCTCTCATCTAGTATACTAAGTATTTGTTCTTATTTATCGTGTGCCGTATGGCTTACTCTGATCAGTACTACGTTGATACTTCCCACTCAGGGCCGTGTTGAAGACTTGTTCCAGCCGAGCGATAGCCTCCGTGGATACCTCTGTGCTTAAGGTTATGGCCTGAAATCTCAATGATTCACAAGGAGCAAGGAAGACGTACGGTAGTGAATAACAATCCGATTCCCCAGCATTTTCAAGCCCTTCTCCTGGGCGATGGTCGAAACGTCGTTGGGCCCTAGTCCAGATGCCTCGAGGTCCAGCCAGACCATGTTGGTCTCCACTGGGTGAGCGAGCTTGCCACCCAGGCCAGTCCAAAGTTGAGCAACCTTCTTTGCGTTTTGATGGGTCTCCAGAAGCTTTCCTTGTTTGCCATGAGGGTCAGGCCCAAAGGTCTCTTCAATAGCGACGCGGGCGGCCGCAGCCAGCACTCCCGCCTGACGCACCCCACCCCCAATGGTCTTCCGAAACCACCGAGCTTTCTTGATGAAATCTGCGGACCCTACAACGATACTGCCGATAGGAGCACCTAAGCCCTTGGAGAAACACAGGCTCACGCTATCAAACAGAGTGGTGTACTCTGGCAAGCTACCTGCTCCAGACACTACTGCTTCCCATAGTCTCGCACCATCGAGGTGCACCTTGATGCCGTTGTGATGTGCCCAATCAGTGATTCTTCGGGCTTCTGCAAGCGGCATGACCCTCCCATCCAGAGTGTTCTCGAGACTGATTAACTTCGTGGGACAATAGTGGATATTGTCACTGAGAACGGCGTGCTTCTGGATGTCCTCCAGAGTAAGATAGGTGCCATTTTTGGGAATGACCGGAAGGACGGTCGCACCGGTCCAAGAGCTGACACCGCCTGCCTCGTAGCAGAAGATATGTGCACGGTGATCACACAGCACTGAGTAGGGTGGCTCCTTGAGATGGGTGCGGATAGCAACCTGATTGCCCATGGTACCGGACATCACCAGCAAAGCACTTTCATGCTGCGTCCGCTCTGCCACGTATGCTTCCAGGTCATTTGTTACCGGATCCTCACCGAAGACGTCGTCGAGAAGGGTGGTCTGGCAGATAGCTTCCAGCATTGAAGGAGTAGGTTTGGTCATGGTATCGCCTTTGTTGTTTCATTTAGCAAATTCACGCATCACGGCGTTGTCCATGAACTCACTTCTGAGATCAAACTCAGCGGCGCCAGCACCCTGCCACGTGCTGGGCCTGCTCCCACTGCTATGCGAGACCGTTGATGTGCTGGCCATGGCGAATCGAGGCGGATATGCGATTCGTGAGATAGAAACCAAGGATCTCTGGACGGATGGATTCCGGAGAGAAAGGCGGGTGAGGTAGCTCATTAAGACTTATATGAGTACTCAGAGCAAACGGCAGAAAATAAACAGAGGGAGGGGGGGTAGGTGTAAGTTCCGAGGAGACCAGAAGCGGTTAACCCGTCACAGTAAGCCCGAAGCCGACGGGGGCCCGGGGGGAACTGACTGCCTATGCGGGGTACCCAATCCGCTGCCCAGTGGGCAAAATTGCCGACCAGCAAGAGACCGCCGTCCCGAGGCAGAGGCCCGGGGGGGATCCAGTCGGGTCCCGTTCCATAAAAAAACAGCTGGAATTGTAAGACAGGCTGGAACACAGTAAACAACGCGCGGTGTCAGCCTATGACGGCACGCCAAACGCACGCCGTTCTTATCGATAGTCTCAAAGAGGAAAGGTCGACCCGCCGACGTGTCCCCAGTTAGTGGCTGAGTCAGCAATCGAGACCTCTGGATCTTCGCGGGCAGGTTTGCGCCCTGATGGACTCGGAACATCCTGTCTCAACTTGCGACCTCCCCCTCTCCTTCCCCCCTCCCTCAGAGAACCGAGATTTGGCTACAGCGACAAAACCGATCACCACCTAATTTTCCCCGGCGTGGGTGCCACGCATGCCCCCCTGGCTTCTCCCTCATCATGTCTGCCACCATGGATCTGTCCCGCCTCACTCGACCCGCGATCCTGTGCCAGTGCTCACGATGCTCCAGCTCTCTCGCCGCCCTGGAGAACGAGTGGGCTAAGCTTTCGAATTCCTACTCCATAGCGGCGGGGTGGCTGAGTGTTGAGCTGCATCGCATATCTATCTCCTCGGAAAAGAAGCAGATCCCCCAGTCCTCGGAGTTGAGCAAATTGCGGGGTCGCATCCTACAGGAAGTCTCATGCAAGCTTTGCCAGCAGAAGCTGGGTGCGCTGTGCGCCCTCGACAATGGGTAAGAAATGGATGATACCCAGTCTTCTTGTGTTAGCCTGACAACAATTTTTAAGTCCAAACATCTTCTGGAAGCTTTCAAAAGTGTCATTCAGGGAGATCGTTACCATGCGTACCGTCGAACCCACCTTCAAAGATGGAGCGCTCGAGCGTCTGATATGCCCACCACAGGAACAACGACGAGATAGGGCCTCTATGCAGCCAGGCGCCTTGGTCCCGGCCGGATCTACGGAGCTGGAAAGTCTCGGGATCACGGTGGAACAACAGATTCAACACCAAGGTCTTAGTCTTGATCATATCTCCAGCTCGGTCAGCAACCTTCACGATACCATGTTCGAACTCAAACATGCATTTACCGCCCTACGCATCGAGTTGAACGGCCCCGGTCGCTTCGGTCCAGATATGAACAGCCCTGCTAGCAAGGACCTGATGATCGCAACGGTCTTGAAGGAGCTCCGATCGAAGTCCGAGGAGATCGAAAGACTAAAATTGGAGATTGAAGCCTTGAAGTTGAAGAACCGCTACGTTGAGGAACAACAGTCGGCTAGACAACAGGTTCAATTACCCCCTTCACTACCGGTATTGACCGTGGGCGAGATGCTACCAGAAGTACGGAGTCCAGGACTACTGCAGGGCAGCAGGAAGCGGCCGTGGCCCGACTCGTTCCCAAGTGGTCGAACCCAGCCGATCGGGGACTCGTTTGACGATGACGATGACGACGAGAGTATCGGCGAGTTTGTTATGGATGGTAGGAATACTATACCGGCCGTCAAGATTCCCCTCAAGGATCCACCCCTTCGGAATTCAGAAACGGTCCATACGACGGATACGACGACACGCGAACCAAGCCCCTCGGGGTCCTCTCGATTGCGCATCGAAGTTCACTCCCGACATCAAACCCCGCACCACGATCACAATATGGACGGAAGCCTGGAAGCCTCTACAAATTCACAGTCAAGGGAGCCAGTCACCAAACGTCCCCGGTTGGCCCAACCGGCCGACAAAAATTCCACCAGCGCGAGGAAGGCAGGCCGGCCCCGCAAGTCATTCAGCCAAACCACCAAACCTGACATCATCTCTCACATCAAGCCTGCGCCACTTGCCGAACAAAACACCAATAACATCAACGGCGCCAACGGTGCCAATAATCCCAAGGAAACGGCTTCTCTCGCCGCCGCTGCCACCACCAGCCCGAGTGAACCAGCCCCGGGCCAAGAACCTCGCCGGACACGCTCTCGGAGCCTCCGAAGACGGCAGTCTGCAAGCAACCTATTCTCCGCGCCCGGGCAGTCACTCCCCAACGGCCATCTGAATGGCGAAACCTTCAACACAGCCGAGCCGAACCCACCCAGTGCCGGCAAAGAAAACCCCCATGTTGCCATGAACGACGTCCAGACAACGGACACCAGCGAGAAGCGCAAGGCCCAGACCGCCGCGCGCGACATCATGGTCCGGCTGGCCATGCAACGCGAAGAGGCCATGGAAACAGATACTTCCCGATGAAAATCGGTGAAAGGCGGGAATATATTATATCGCCTCGTAGCTCACAAAACATTCTCCGATTCAACTCTTCCTCTCCTTTCAAGAACCCTAAGCTTGGCCTTCCAAGGTACGCCATGCTTTCTCTTTTGTCTCTTCGGCGCACGAAAAGTGTCCCTTCAGTTTCTCCTTGCCGGCGTATCGGTGAACAGGTGGGTAGGTGGGTGGATGGATTCGGCTGGTTAAGTCTAGATTGTATCTCCTTTTTTGAAATATCGAGACTTCCCCCCAAATAATATTCCCTCTTCGTATGAGGTCAAAGCTACAATCTACCTACCTTGATCAGGATAACAATCAGATGGTATCTATGATTCATAGATGAAACCTCGGATCGAATAACTCCCAAAAGCAGAGCCACTTAGTAATCCACCGATATTTAGGTAAATGGTCTGATATATGAAATTCCACCCCAAGGTAGATATATTGATTCAAGATCCAAGCTCCGATTTTCACTATCCTAAGACGCCACCAACTCGAGATGAGCGGGAAACACACACACGTCCATACACACAGAGGTTACTTTACACACATGAACCCACAGCCCTCGCGGGCGCGCTCGCAGGCCTTCTTGAGCGCCTGCTCCTCCGTATCCGTCCACTTGACACTGAGCTCATCCCACGGCTTCTTGGAATTATACTCCTCGCGGAACAGCTTGTGCATTGCCTGCAGACGGCTGACCTCGCGCGGGTCCCCAGTGCCCGAGTAGACCATGAACAAGCTACAGGGCGGGAGGGCGTCGTAGATGCGCTGGAGATTTGCGATCGTGCGGCTGACCACGTCCGATAATTGTGGCGTCGGTGCTGGGTGGTCTTGTGTTTTCTCCTCGGAGGGTAATGACGTCGTGCTTGTGGCTGCTGCGCCATCACTGGACGTTGTTGTTGCTGTGGTTTCCTCAGCGGCGGGAACCACGGCGGTGGATGCGTTGGAATTGTTGGGGTCGGGGAGACGATTGCAAAAGCCGCGGTGGAGTTCGAGCTCGCGCAGGCGCGCCCAGGTGAAGTCCACGCCGCCGCCGGGGATGGAAGGGTGGGTCTCGTCGCCGTTGACGGCGGAGGCGATGCCGTTGACAACGTCGTTGTCGTCGACACAGCCGATTGCGACGGTCGCCTGGGCGCCGAAGCCGCGCTCGGGGTTGCCCCAGTCGACGACGGCGCCGGTGCGGCCTTCAGGGGTATCATTGTTGGTGTTGTTGTTGACTGAGGGGGTGTGCTTGCCGGGCCGGGTGGAGCGGCCAAGACGTTTGAAGATGCTTTCGTTGGAGTTGTCGCCCGTGCCCCAGCGCTCGCCCTTCTCGCACTTCTGCTTGACGAGCTCGAGCACGGCGCGGGCGTCTTCGATGGAGTCGTGGCCGGTTTGGCCCTTTTGGATCTCCTTGCCCATGTATTTTTGAGTGAGCCACTTCAGACTGCATTTGAGGGGCGGGCCGCGCGGGTGGGGGTATATGAAGGTAGTGTCGACGATGAAGGGGTGGGTCATCTTGAGGGCGTTCATATCGGAGTTGAGGGAGTGGCCGACGAGGATGGCTCGTGGAGTGAGGATGGCGAGGAGCTTCTCCTGAATGTCGGCGAGGGTGGTCGTGACGGGGTCGAGCTTCTCCTTGGTGATGCCGGAGAACCGAGTGAGGTAGTCGATGATGGGCTTTTGTGGCTTCACGAGCTCGTCGAGTACGACCTCCCCGTCCCAGCGGACCAAACTGATCCGCGTGAGTTCCGACTGGCCCCCCTCCGTGATACACATTTCGCAGTCCAGCGCCAATACGTCCCGTCCAGCGGTCATGCTTCCCTGCTGGATCTCAGCCTCCGGTACCTGGCCGGCCTCTAGACTTTCAACGTGGGTGTCAACCCATCCGTCCTCAGCAGATTGACCGGCTCGCTTGCGGCTCTCTGCTAGATTCAGCCTCTCTTGCTTGTCGGCCATGAGAGCCGGATGTAGGACGTAGTCGTTTTCGCGCAGATCCGCGACGGAACTGATGAATGTAGTGATCGGCGTTCTCTGGGAGGCCTGATTCTTGTCCACCCTCGGCGGTTTTGGACCCTTTGTGTTGTTACTGTCCTTGTTCTTCGGTAGCGGCGTGAGGAGCATCGCCTGAAGCGGCGAGTGCACTTTGTTGTACTTCGTGTCTCCAGGCGCCTTCACCGGCCAAGCATGAGGAAACATATCGGCCAACGACTGCAGAGGCTCTGGGAGACTCTCCCGCGTCAACGGCCGCGGGTTGAACCGGTGGGACCGATCTTCCAGAGGCAGGCCTTGCTTCCACCGGGCAAAGTCCGCCGTCTTGGGATCCTCCTCCTGTTTCCCCGCAGGTTCTGTATCCTTGTCCACGTCCATCTGTTCGCTAGCTTCCTCCGGTACCAGCGGTATAGATCCATCCAGCATCCCAAGTTCCAGGCCAGGAACCATCACCACCACAATCTTTCGAACGTAGCCCGAGTGTTTGATGGAGATCCATTGTGGTGCAATGCCATCGGCGAAACAGTAGAGAAGAAGACTTTGTAGGTCTGCGATCCGGATGGATGATTGTAATCGCCCTTCGACGTAGGTGAGGACGGGATACTTGGTCTTGACACCATCCACCCGCTTCTTTTTGCTCGGTCGCTGAGCTCCATTCTGCGCCTTATCGGCCCCGGCGTCGGACGTCGCAGAGTTCTCGTTGTTGTCGTTCGATTCCGACGCCGACTTCTGAAGGGAGGCAAGGGTCTGTGCAATTCCGAAGCCATTCCCTGTGTCTGGATTGGTTTTCACAGGACTTTCGTCGTCCGAGCAATCGGCGTGCTTGCGCTTTCTGGATCCGGCCATTTCTGGGTTGACAGCGGCAATGGGTGGGAGTGTCTGAAGGAGCTTGCCCAGCTACACCGGTTCTAGCAAGTTAAGTTAGAGGCCAGTTCGGACACGAAATCAACTTCTGATCCACTGCAAATATGTCGAGAGAATTGGGATCATCTGCCCTGGCGATTTACAAATCTCGGTTGTCGCGCGCGGCGCAGATCCTATCGATTTCTGGGTCACGTGACGATAGTGTATCGCGGGCGGTGATGAGTTGTGGTTGTCGCAGCGCCTGCAGGAAGGTTGCATCTGCAAAACATGCAAGCTGGACCTGCGCGGGGTCCAAGAGCCATTATAGGGTAGACTCCGCAATAGCTAAACACGGTTACGACGACCTTTGAGCAAGGCTTCAGCGATCATCTGCTGAAGTTCAATGAATCGATCAATTCCCGATAAGAATCCATCCCGATGCCCGACGGCAAAGTGATTACTCATCCTGAAGCTTTCTTCCCTCGAATCCCGCCAATCAAACCAGCTGCAGAGCGCCGAAGATCGCAAGATGGGCTAAAGTACTAAGTGTATGAGCCGTAGCTGTATTACAAAACATGGTTCGATCTGATAAGCGGCCAAAATTTCGCCATCGATCATCCTTCCCTCTTCTTCCTCGATTGTTCCGTTCATAGTACAGGGTGCTCTTGATTGTCTTTACTCTCCTTGTCACCTATTATCCTTCTCCATCGTACTGAATACACTCGCTAGATTGGGTATAACAACCTGTTCTACGAAGCAAATTCAAACAAACAACTTCTCAACTTCTCCGCTCATCCAGTCCAGCACTCTTGACACACACACCCCTCTTAAGGTCCCCCTCCCCCCGCCGACCTCGCCCGCCGCCTGCGCGCTCGCTCATAATCCCCACCCCACGCCATCGTAACAGTCACACACACACACACACACAAGACGTCTACTTGATCCTCCCCTCTCCCCTCCTACCGCCTCAACCCACCAACAAATAAACACAAAAGCCCAACAACCCAAGAAAATCACAATGTCCGCCCTCATCGAAGTGGCCTCGGAGGCCGAGTTCCCGACCTACCTCTCATCGCTGCCACCGACCTGCCTGCTGGTCCTGTACTTCCACGCCCCCTGGGCGGCGCCCTGCACGCAGATGCGCGCCGTGCTGTCGGCCCTGGCCTCGCAATACCCGGCGACCAACCCGCCGACGACCGCGTTCCTCAGTGTCAACGCCGAGGAGCTGCCCGACATCTCCGAAGACTACGACGTCACCGCCGTGCCCTTCGTCGTCCTCGTCCGCGACGGCCAGATTCTCGAGTCCATCAGCGGCAGCGAAGCCGTGCGCGTGCGCGATGCCGTCGAGCGCTACGCCGGCCCCGGCAGCAACACAGCACAACAATCACAACTCCCACAGCAGAAGACCGCCATCCCCCCGCCGTTGACCGCCGTGCCCCGCGAGGACGCCTCCGCGCCCACGACCGCCACCCAGGCGCCCAACGGAGCGACGGGCGGAGCTGCTGGCCCCGTCGCGACGGCGGAGACAAAGGAGGCCCTGTTCGCGCGCCTGGCGGAGCTGGTCAAGGCCGCGCCGGTTATGCTGTTCATGAAGGGCACGCCCAGCGCGCCGCAGTGCGGGTTCAGTCGGCAATTGGTCGGCATCCTGCGCGAGCGCAGCGTCAAGTACGGGTTCTTCAACATTCTGGCCGATGAGGACGTGCGCCAGGGTCTGAAGGAGTTCGCCGATTGGCCCACTTTCCCCCAGTTGTGGGTGGATGGCGAGTTGGTCGGTGGGTTGGATATTGTATGTTTTTTTTTTCTCTCTTTCCCTTTTCCTTTTTGCCTCTTCCTGCTTTTCTTTGGGTAGGTTAATCGTGCTAACGTCTCTTCTCATTACAGGTTAAGGAAGAACTGGAGAATGACCCGGATTTCCTCGCCGCATATTCGGTTAACAAGGCTGTGTGAGTATTATAGAATATGTCTACGTCGTTAGGGATTCCTGTATTATGCTTGTCCCTTTTTTTTTATAAGATACTTCCTAGTTGTTCAGTTCTCTCTAAGATCTAGCGATGGATATTGAGAAAAAACCCAAAAGATTTAATTAATCAAGCAGTGGTTTCAGTTTCTTCCGTTGCCTTGCCGTCTTGGTCTTACGCCGCTCGAAGTAATATGTCCGTCTTACATCCTCTATATGGAAGCAAAAGCTGCGGTGTATCTTTCCTCGTAGAAGTCATGTGATATATTGTATATGATAGACAGATGGAATTCTGCAAGTCAGGCAATCCGCTTTATTCGGGCATTTGGCCATGCAGGGCGAGGCACATACATATACTAGTATGGCGCCATGAAGAATTCCAACCTACGATGACTCCTCATCCGCGCGCCAGACGTTTGCCGTCCAGTTCTCAGGATCCTTGTTCCGGCGGGCTTGATTCGGCGTCCTGGGAAACATAGGGCCGTAGTCGCGATCATGCCAGATATTTCTGAAGGGCCGGTTGCGGACCACGGTGCGGACCCGGGAGAGCACGGCATCCTCGTCGACATACGCACCAGCCAGCCAGCGGTCGCCCTGGGCGGTGTTGAAGGCGCGGCGGGCGTGCACGACGCGCCGGTTCTCGAAGATGACGCATTGGCCCGGCTCGAGTTTCAGCTCGAAGACATTCTTGGGGTCCTCGAGCTTCTCCGCAAAGTACTTCAGCGCCTCTACGGCCAGGGTGTACTCGCTGTGGTCCTTGTAGCGGTCCGTGATGCTCGCCTGGAAGGGCGGCGAGTAGTTGACCCGGGTCAGCCGCCGCCGGAGGCCCTCCCGCGGCAGCGGGAACTCTTGCTCGAACACCGGCCAGGTGTTGGTGTAGAAGTGATCCGCGTGGTTGTACTCGTAGGTCAGGTCCAGCCGCGTCAGGGCCTTCCAGAGCAGCCGCTTGTCATGGTACATGGACCGCGCCACGTGGAAGGTGTCGGCGAAGAGCGACTCGCCGCCGTCGCACGAGTTCCGGAGGCAGTGCAGGAGCTGGAACCCCGGGGGCTCGTTCATGTACATCAGGTCCATGTGGAAGTTCAGGAACTGGTTCGTGTAGGCGACATTCTCGGCATTGGGCTTGTTGCGCACATCCCAGGTCGGTCCGTAGAACGTGTTGCGGAGGGGACCGAGCCGGGTCGCGATCTTCTCGACCTCGGCGCGAGAGTCCGGGATGTTCTTGACGAAAATTAGTCCGGTTTCGGACAGGCTTCGCAGGGCCAAGGCGAATGCTTCACTTTCCCGCATGAAATCATTGTAGTCGACCCAGTACACATCTTCTTCGATCGTCGCACGGTTCCAGATCTTTCGCCACCGTCTCTTGCTGCTAGCAACTTCCAAGAGTGGCGCCAGGACGCCGTGTTTGATATGATCGATGTGGTACTGGGATCTGTGGGTCGTCTCGCCGCTTGCCATTCCTCGGTCCCAGTTTACCACCACTTGCTTGTCCTTGATCTCTATAGATTGCGGCTTGATGTCAATGGGTATGTCGGTGGTGCGGAAATTGCGCTGCTTAGTAGACGGGTCCACGCACTGGGAGCATTTGCATGCATCGCGCAGCGTGTGATAGAGTACCGGGAACTCCTTCCGTCCAGGTTGTTTAATCAGTAGAGCATCCCGTGTCGCCTGAATTTTTTCCACCCATTTACCTTGGACTTGGATAGGAATCCCCAAGGGTGCGGATGACGGCCAAGCTAGATTGACGGTGGTGCGGTCACGTTCGGGATGAGTATCTTCCGGGGCGGCGCTTTGGTAGTCGTCTTGGACGAACTCGGATTTTGAAAGGGGAACGGAAGGGTTCGCTGGAGCAGGGGGTTGTCCATGCCCTGCTGAGATCTCGGGTCCCTCCTTCTTTTCCTGCCTGAGACTTGGCGTCTTTGCGTAGCTGCGACGGAGTGCGGGGGTGAGAGCTGTTGCGATGCGAGGAGATCGCAGGAGGCTTCTTCTAGACAAGGACGCCATGTCGATCTCACTTCATCTGGGCTCCGAGCGCTGCTGCACAAGGTGAGGCAGAAGCATATATAGCACCGGGCTAAAGGAAAGAAGGGAAGGGAGTCATGGAGGGGAAGCAGACCACATCAGCTAATACTCGAGATTGAGAGCCGAGGCTCGGAGGTCGAGATCTTCTCCGCAGTCCGCATCGCGCTTCTTCTCGCTTGTGGACTAGCCTCATGCCGCTTTAAATCTTCTGCTAGGTAGTGTGTTGCAACCTGAAAACAATTCAAGCATCACCACCTGAACATGGACATAGTGCAGAGAAATTCATCAGTGAATTTCGAATTCCCCACCAAAATCACGATGTGATCCCTCCTTGGTCTGCAACCAACAAATGACACGCGCAACGGGCCTTCACGTCATCGCGCGCGCGGGAGAGCCTCCCATTTTTCTGGCACTTAGGCGATCATCTATCTCTCCGACACAATCGTTGCACCCACTTACACCCCGACTGCGTGTTATCAGTACATTCTCTATCGGTGTCGCACTAAACTTAGCCGGCTCCGGTTTCTATTGGAGGACTAGACCATCCAGATTTCACCCTTTGACGTATTCTTGACCCAATTGCCGGTTCAACTTGTTGCTCAGTAAAAAGTCGCATACAATTATTGTGGACTTTCCCACACGCCACGAGCCAGATTCAAATGACCTTCGATCAAATATAACGCTACATTCGACATTAGAGCAATCACCACCGCCTGCGCGCGAACATCCGCCGATCTTCCCTCGCTTTCTCTTCTCCCATTGACCCTCAGCAATCACATGCATGTCGGCCGGGGGCGAACACCTCAAGGATGAGGTGAGTGCATGGATCAGTGCTCGGGTTTGACTTCGTTTTTCTTGCGATTGTGCAAGTCGGTCTTGCTCTCATCTGTCTACAATCCCGCTTTCCCCCCCCCCCCCTCATCCCAAGCGCAAATCGACTGACATGTCCTTCCTCAGGGGTCGCGACGACAAGTCGTCCTCGCGGGCGGAATCGCAGGCCTCTTCTCCCGGTACGTTCGATTCCCCAAAGCATCGCAACACCTCGCTCTTGCCCCCCACTCGCTACAACCTTTGCTGCTGTTTCCAAAGCTAACCGGAAAACCAAAAATACCACAGATTCTGCATCGCCCCCCTCGACGTCGTGAAAATCCGTCTCCAACTGCAAATCCACTCCCTCTCCGACCCAATCTCCCACCAACATGTCACCGGACCAGTCTACAAGGGCACGTTGTCGACGATGAAGTCGATCCTGCGCGAGGAAGGAATTACAGTGCGTTCTTCTGCCTTTCCCTGCCCCGCTCCTCCAGCCCTCAAATCACCAAACCCGACCCCGAACCACATCACTAACAAAAAAAACAGGGTCTCTGGAAAGGCAACGTCCCCGCCGAACTCCTCTACCTAGCCTACGGCATCATCCAATTCAGCACCTACCGCACAACGACGCAGATCCTGGCCACCGAGCTGCCCAACCGGCTCCCCGCCTCAGCCGAATCCTTCATTGCCGGAGCCCTGGCCGGCGGCCTGGCTACCTTCTCCACCTACCCGCTGGATCTGCTGCGCACGCGGTTCGCCGCCCAGGGCACGCAGCGCGTCTACCCGTCGCTGCTGGCCTCGGTGCGTGAGATCGCGCGCCAGGAGGGCCCGCGCGGGTTCTTCCGGGGCGGCAGCGCCGCCGTGGGCCAGGTGGTGCCGTACATGGGTCTGTTCTTTGCGACGTATGAAGCGCTGCGGCCGGTTGTGGCGACGCTGCCGCAGCAGGTGCCCTACTTGCCGGCGGGCAGTGGGGATGCGGCGGCCGGCGTGGTGGCGAGTGTCTTGGCCAAAACGGCGATGTTCCCGCTGGATCTGGTGCGGAAGCGGCTGCAGGTGCAGGGCCCGACCCGGCTGTTGTACGTGCATCGCAATATCCCGGAGTATCGGGGGGTCTTCAGTACGATGGCGTTGATTGTGAAGACGCAGGGCGTGCGGGGCCTGTACCGCGGACTGACGGTCAGTCTGTTCAAGGCGGCGCCGGCCAGTGCGGTGACCATGTGGACGTATGAGACTTCGCTGCGGGTGCTTCAGGACATGGAGATCGCTGCTGATTGAGCACGACTCTGGGAGTGGCAGCTAGCTGGCTTGGATTATTGAGTCTCGGATACACTAGACACGTTACGCCAGCTCTTAGAAAAGCATCTTGTAAATTATTCAACGACCTAATAGAGTTCATTCACAATCCACCCTGGCCGTAGTCAGACCGCAGACTCATTACAGCATTACAAATTCCAGAGGCACCTCTAGCTTTTTCTCCCGAACTTTCTTAGGCCAAAACAGTTGAAGCCAAACGAGGCAAAAGCAGGAACGGTCAAGACAGGACTGAGGAAGAAACAAAAACAGGAGGGGGTGTCACACGCTAAAAACGAAAACAAAGCACTTGGCAAACCAAGACGCAAAGGCAATCAAAGCAGAACGCGAATAACACTCAGTACTCGGCCTCCAGCTCCTCGATTTCCAGGCTGTCGCCGGCAACCTCCTCGTAGTCCTTCTCCAGCGCAGCCAAGTCTTCGCGGGCTTCGGAAAATTCGCCTTCTTCCATACCCTCACCCACGTACCAGTGAACAAACGCGCGCTTGGCATACATCAGATCGAACTTGTGATCCAAGCGGCCCCATGCTTCGGCAATTGAGGTAGTATTCGCGAGCATGCTAACAGACCGATCGACAGGAGCGAGCTCACTATTAGGAACGCGCATGGGTTTCTGGAAATTGATGCCCAATTTGAACCCTGTAGGGCACCATTCGACCAGGTGGAATGTATTCTTGGCTTTGACAGCGGCAATAGCCTGGTTACAGTCGCGCGGGATAACGTCACCACGGTACAACAAAGCAACCGCCATATACTTGCCCTTCCTTGGGTCGCAAACAACCATCTGGTTATGGGGCTCGATGCCTGGAGAGTATTGTCAGTTATCGACTCTTATATCTATGAGCAAGTCTCGGCACCATGCAGAACACGTACACTGGAAGGTCAGATCCTGAACTTTGAAGCTCTCGTGCGAGCTGCGGTTGCTTGAAACCACAGGTGCAAATGAGATCAATGGATAGTGAATGCGAGGGAAAGGAACCAGGTTGGTCTGGAATTCGGCCAAGTCGACATTCAGGGCGCCCTCGAAGCGAAGACTGGAAGTAATCGAGCTCACTACCTGAGCAATGAGGCGGTTGAGGTGGTCGTAGCCGGGACGCGGGATATCCAGGTTGCGGCGACAGATCTCGTAGACAGCCTCGTTGTCAACCAGGAAAGTGCAGTCAGCATTCTCGATAGTGCTGTGTGTCGACAGGACCGCGTTATATGGTTCGACAACTGCCGTCGAGACGCGAGGTGAAGGGTAAATGGCGAACTCGAGCTTTGATTTCTTGCCGTACTCGGTCGAAAGGCGCTCCAGCAACAAGGCACCAAAGCCAGAGCCAGTGCCGCCGCCAAACGAATGGAACACTAGGAAGCCCTGAAGCGAGGAGCAGTTATCTGGGAGGGTAAGTATATCGTTCAGCACGTTCGCACAGCCAGAGACGCCGGGGTGAATACATACCGGCAACACGACGAACGCGGTCGGCGACCTCTTCAACCATTTCTTTCCCAATGGTGTAGTGTCCACGTGCGTCTAGACAAAGTCAGCGCTTGATATACTGTTGAGAACGCTTCTATGAGTCATACAGTTGTTCGCAGCATCCTCCTTGCCATTGATCAGGGTTTCAGGGTGAAACAGCTGGCGATATTTCCCAGTGCGAACCTCGTCAACGGGCTATATTCGTTAGCCTGTATTATCACTTCGATGAAATTGACTCGATCGAGACCCTACCGATGGATCAAGATCGACAAAGATCGAGCGAGGGACATATTTTCCGTTGCTGGATTCGCTGAAGAACGTTTCGAAAGAGCCCGCGGATCTGGTCTCATCAACGGCATCGGGATTTAGGTGACCGTCTGCCTTGAGACCATGTTCAAGCAGATATCTGTTATGAAGTCATGGGTTCAGCGCTGAACTGTCCTGGGCGACGTTGCAGATCATGTCATGATGGGGTGGGCGAGGCCAACTTACAGCTCCCAGGCACTGTTACCCAGCTGAATACCTGCTTGGCCGATGTGAATATGGCAAACCTGATTGACAAATCACGTTAGATTCCAAGCATGGCTAGGATTACACAACAAGCCGGTCTTCCTGAGGTAACTCGAAGCTAATCGAGGCGAGGAGGAGAGAATGGGAGGAGGGGAGCCGTGCGGGGAAGCAAACGCTCGGAAAACTTGTATACTTCTTACCTCGCCTCTCATGTTGCAGATTTGACTGCCTTCTTCCGTGATGAATCAGGTGGGGATTCGAGATCAATGAAGATGAGCAGAAACAAAAAGATGAAAGTGGGGGATGGAGAATGATGAGGGGTGATGAAGAGGGCAAGATGGGAATGAGGGGAGATAGACTTGGAAGATGATGGTGCCATGACCGGGTGGTACTTTTGGTGACGGACAACAACAACACCGCAACAACACGCGCTTACCGGGTTTGTAAACAACCTCGAGGGAACCAATCAACAACCTGGTCCCATCTTACAAACCTTCACCTCAACTACTAGAGCTGCGCTCCAAGTGCATTGTATGAAAGTATGATCATTCGTTCCTCTTTGTTGTTAGTATACTTACTCAAGAGCTACAGACTTTCCATGTTACCTGACCCATCGCTTCTTAAACATCTCCCACGTGAAACTATGCGGAATGCGGGGAAACCGCGGCATCAATCGAACAGCACCAAACATAGGTGAAAAGCACTCGTATCAAATTGAAACTGCGTGGTCAACCATCGAACGATTCTCAGGTACCTTCTCCTCTATCTCTACTAGTGTCCATAATACTTGTGCTTATTCGACATACAAGTGCTGAAAATCCGAATTGTTTTGCAACGATTGTATGGTGCATCATCGCCATTATCGGCTTTCATACGACCACTGAAAGCCTCGCTCATAACAGAACAGCCTACGAAACCATGACAATCACAATTCTCACCCGACATGGCTCATCCTTAGCAGCATTTAACCGGAACCTATCAGATTCCCCGAGGCGGACAAATGATCATCTTATAGTTCACGCACCGCGCCAGAATAGAAAAATGGGCTCGCTTCGTTATCTGGGATCGGCAGTAGACAAGGAGGGGTAGAGTAGGACACGTCGAGGGTCAATTATGATGTCGGAGGCTTGAGACACGAACTCGATTGGGGATTCCGAGCCGGTCTGCGAGATTTATGCGCATAAATACTCCGCCCCTGCATCTGCACAAAACTCAGATAATACGAAGGATTTGGTCATGGATTTCCACCACAATGAACACGTTAAATCCCAAGGCAAAAACCTGGAAATGCAAGGACGCCGACCATGGAAATCGGTATTATCTCTATCAAGGGATGGTTATTGTACCGAGTACCTATACCGCCTAACAGTGCGGTGATCTCCTGCACGATATTATAAGAGGGTGCATTATTTAGGTTTCTATCGTTGGGTTTACCGAAGCCACCGGGGCCAACGATCGGCTGCACTACAGAGCACTAGCATTTTAGCAGAAGAGCTACCCTGAGTCAGGGTTAAACACAGCTCGTGTTAACGCTGAAGATAACGGCACAAGAGGAGTCGTCGTGTCGTCCGTCGCATGGGACACCGTCGGCTTGCCTGAGCTCTGGCTAGAAAGTCTGAATTGGGCGTCAGGGTGACGCGGAGATCCAGAGAATTTGCTCTGCTTGATGATGATGCACTTCGGATGTTCCACAGCAATTAGGAACAACAATTGTTCCAAGAAACAGCCAGTGTTCAGAAGGGAAATTTCCATGACGGCGGCCGGGAGTGCCTGAATTGTGGCGTTTCTTGGCAGTCGCCACACTGCTTCGTGGATTTTTTCTCTTTTCATTTGCCTTTGACTGAACCAGTCAAGAGTTCTTTCCCTTCCACCTTTCAAAGAATCTGCGTGGACCGACCATAGCAATATTGCTATTTCTGCAGGTACTATACCCCGAAAACAAGTCAATGAGGATTCGCAGCATAGGAAGTCAAATCATGACGGTAATAGCCAACGATAATACTATCGGGATATAACCCCTCGAAAAACAGCAACCGATGCAGTGCGGAGTCATTGCGCGACGCACAGTGATCCAGTCTGGGACTCTGGGTCTGTAAGGATCCACTTTCTTCTTTCGAAGTGGGGATTCGAGGGCCCATTCATTGTTAGTCCCGACGCCCACCGCAGCCACAACTGGAGCCGGCGCCATTGTTGCCTTGACTGTTTGCTGATTGAATGAGGGTCTCCGCCCTGGCGCAATCTATCGATCTCACTTCAACTGGCCTAACTCGATAGCTTCGGAATTCCTGCCTCTACAGTATCTGTGGAGGAGTAGATCGAAAAATCACTGTTATAGTACGATGAGAATTGGAAGAAAGCAGAGAATAATTCCATGGCTGCAGTAGAAACATTGCCAATAACGCCAACAATCCGCCGAATCATGCGCATCGGCAGGGCAGCAAGTACAATATGAGTAAAGCGAATTGGTCTGGACCAGAGGGAGCAAGCATCTCGGTTTCTTGGGCGTTTCCACTGGCCGACTTTCCCGTGCGATCGGCGAGGTTTCCGCATCGATCAACTCCTGCTCTATTGCTGCTGCCATCCATGGATGGAGCTCGGTGGATGGGAGTGAAGGTTTGTCGGTTTGTCTGTCTCTTCGTCGTCTTCTCTTCATCAGAGTTCCCCACTTCGTCCCTCTTCTGTCTTCCTGTCATCTCAATAGTCTTGTCTCTTTTCTCCTTTTCCTGTCCACTTTCTTTCTTCTCTCGCACACACACACACACACACACACACTCTCTCTCTCTCTCTCTCTCTCTCTCTCTCTCTCTCTCTCTCTCATCTTCTCGCCTCTCTGCATTTGCTTCAGCTGTTCGCATTCTTGTACTTCCATACCACTTCCCACTTGCTTGTATAAGATACCGGCGAGTCCTTTCCTCGCCTTGCTTATCAAAACCACCAATAGATCCCATGCATAATTAAATCATTTGAGCGGTATGTATCAGTTCTAGTAATCTTATTTATGGCAATCGTCCCCACCGGTGTTCACTCGACACTCTCGCTCGTGCGCTTTTTACTGTCTCACCTCAATTTCCCCACGGACTGTCCACGACAGCTTGGCTTCTCCATTAAAAACAAAACCTATTCCCTCCTATTCCCTGGATATTCTTCGGTCGATCCATCTACTCTTTCTCATTATCCCATGT